AGAGAGAGGAAGAGAGCTCTGAAAACATCACAGAAGAACCTAAGCCTGAGCCCACAGACCAGGGTTTGGACAGCCAGGAAGATGTGCATGAGAAGGAGGTTGAGGAGGAGATCAGCCAATCACAAGAGGAGTTCGCTCCATGCAAGGGTTGTGTAATTAGCCAAGAAATCTTATAGACACTCAACATACTTGCACTGGCTTGCTTAGTAAAAAACTCAAAAAAAAAAAAAAAGTGTAGTCTCACATGCAATTTAGTGTTGTAAGCTTCAAAATAAAACATGGCATTCGCAAATGTTGACTTGTATTTCAGATTTGTTTAAGGTGATTGCTTTAGGAGAGTTTTTTAAAGACCCCATCGTACACTATGTTTGGATCTATGTTATAATGTAGTTTCCTCATCGCAGAAATACCTGGAGCTGTCTTTTGTTTCATTCACACATGTTTAACACTCAAATCTTGCATATTTGTAGCCAGGCTGGTGCCTCCTAGTGCCTCTGCTCAATTTCATTTCTCTCCAGTGACTAGGTCAGGAATCAGAATACACTAGATGGTTTGCAAGAACCCCGGAAGCTGTAGATTGCACACCGGCCAATCAGCAAAGAGCTGTGAAGCCATGACGTCAAACTCAATGCACCTGTCTGGGTCCCGTTTGTGGTACAGCACAACAGTAAACAAAGCAGTCGAGATGGATGTAGAAGAAGTCATACATTCTGCAACGATTCCCGAGATTGAGGATTTTCACTCCCTGCTTTGTCTACTGTTGTGCTGGCAATTACACCACTGAGCGTTCTGGTGCATTACGTCACAACCAAATAGCAACGACTGGTTTAATTAAAAAAGTCCCTGCCTACCGTCGAGCAAACAAATTCTAATGCTGCGAGGTCAGACGGTTTCCACGAAGTGAAACCGGCTGATGAATCAGATTAGTATATTTGGGCTAAGAAACTACATTCTAATATGGCTCATAACTTACAAAACTCAATTTTGTGTATTATAGGATGTAAGTATTCAAATGAAGGGTCTGTCACATGCTTGTCTTTATTGAGATATTATCGTGTCTTAAATTTTCCACAATATTGCATTAAACATATCTTTCTCCATATAGACAAGCAGGTCATGATTCAGTTCAGTCATGTCATCTGTGGAGAGGTAAGCCCACTCAGAACAGAATACATGTTTTTCAAGGCATTTGTTTAGCAATGAGAACAACTTTTTGCAGTTTTGTACTTATATACTGCATAAATACAACATAATACCAAATATGAACATGTTTTATAAGGTGAGTGGGTGAGTTTAGGGTGAGTGGTTGGTCAAATGTGGTCACTGATTTGCATAAATCTGAATAGTAGCCAATATTATTCCACTCTTAAGGGCAAGATATTCAAAGTTTATTGGCAACAGCGCATTACAAACTTTTAATAGGATAGTAGCAAAGTTTGCATACCACATTTGTAAACAGTGTCAATCTGAGTAAATGTCAAATCTGAACGTGCTCTAGGATACTGTGGAGAAGCCTAAAATTTTACAAAACTCACCACAGTCTATTTTTAAATTTGAAATGATATATAACTACACACATCATTGTATTTCATTTTATTTTTCTAGACATGATTAACTTAATAAACATTTGTGCATCTGTGCATTAGTAACGTGTAAATGAATATAACTCGCCTTAGGATAGACTGGCATTACTCCAACATTTCTGTTTCCATGGCAACTCCCGTTTCCTCGCGCATATCACCCGATAGTAATAAATGCAGCTATTTACGTGGAAAAAAAACATCAAAGGAACCCATTCTACCAAAAATATGGAGGGTTTTTATTGTTGTGGATCCAGCTTGGACATTTAAATTTCTCCTTCTGCTCCCACAACCCGGAAAAGATGATATTATTTCGCATCACACGACATGCGAGGGAAAGGGACCAATTTATTTTCAATCTTTCAGAGCATATTGGCAGTGCAGGCTTCCATGGGTTTGGTCCATTCAGCACGCCCGCTAAGCCCTGTGCTAATCTGCTGCCCAGTTGCTGCTGTTAGCCAACAATAAGCGCACAGACCAACCACTAGCCTGGCATGGGGCCCGAGTGACACACAGGGAAATGCTGGCTGGATGTTTGTACCACCACCCAAACAAAGACATCACCATGAAAGAAAGCTCGGCATCAAATGTGGTTGGCAAATCAGGCTACGGTCCCCTCGGTCACGCAGCTTTCTCCTGTAGGTTTGAATATAAAAGACAGATCAAAGTATGAAGCCATGTATTGGTTTTCAGTAATATGTGTTTGAATGACTCTGCGAGATAAGCACAGAGACTATTGGTGCTTTTTAGATGACATGACAGGCCAGTTTTAAAGGGCCCTTATTACTCTGTTTTCTGATTTATGTTATAATGTTGCTTCCTCCTCAAAAGCATACTCTGGTGGTGTGTTTTTGGTTTATTCACGCATGTTTAACACACATACCCTACATATTTAGGCTGAGAAAACAGAAAACACTATGTTGCACCTTGTGATGCCATGTGGTAATACAGGAAGAGCTCCACTGTGTTTTTAAACTCCACCTTCACTAGAAACAGTTGGATGATTTCAGCTCTGGAATTGCCAATCTCTACTGAACTAAAGGTGAAAGGTCACTGTTAACTTGAAAACTACCACTGCATTATGCCACAAGGTGGAACAGAGCATTTTGGGCTTTAGAGAGGTAGAGAGAATAATAATAAATGGTTACTCAAACATGTGTGATTCAAACACAGATAATGAATATGGGTGAAATGCAGTTTATTGTTATAATACAAGACGTTAATGGGTCAACAAAAAGTAATGATTTGGTTAAACATTTGTGAATCTACCTTTTGGATATTTCATGGCAAAGCATCATGGCAAAGCACAAATATTAGGCAAAGGGGTATCTTTTGTTTTTTTATGCATATTCTCCAACTCCAAGCTGTATAAGCTTGAATTCTTATTGGATTTGGAGGGGGGGGGGTCTAATTAGATCAACACCCAATATCAAGGTGTGCAGAATTATTACACAGTTACTTTTCCTCAGGCAAATTGGGCCATGAAAGAGATTTAACTGACACTGAAAAGTCAAAAATTGTCTTTCAGAAGGATACAGCACTCTTGAAATTGCCAAGAAATTGGGGTGTAATCACAGAACCATGTTCTGTACTCAGAGACATGGCCAAGGTAAAGAAGGCTGAAACCTGACCACCACTGAACAAGAAACATAAGATGAAACATCAAGATTATACCGGTATATAGGTTTGGATTGATGAGATGAGAGTGACTCTTGAAGGACCAGATGGATGGACCCATGGCTGGATCAGTAATGGGCACAGAACTCCAGTGTGGGGTACTGGTATGGGCTGGTATTATTCAATATGAGCTTGTTGGACCTTTTTGGGTTGAAGATGGACTCAAAAGGAACTCCAAAATTTACTGTCAGTTTTTAGAAGACACTTTCTTTAAGCAGTGCAGGAAAAAGTGATTTTTATGCAGGACAATGCTCCATCGCAAGCTCTGAAGTACTCCACTGTGGCTAGCCAGTAAAGGCCTCAAAGATGAAAAAATAATGTCATGGCCCCGTTCCTCACCTGATCTAAACACTATTGAGAACATGTGGGCCCTTCTTAAAAGGGAGATTTACAGTGAAAGAAAACAGTACACCTCTCTGAACAGCGTCTGGGAGGCTGTGGTTGCTGCTGCACAAAAAGTTGATCATTAACAGATCAAGAAACTGACAGACTCCATGAATTGAAGGCTTATGACTATTATTGAGAAGAAGGGTGGCTATATTTGTCATATTTATTTTTATTTTATGTTTTGCCAGAAATGTTTATTTGTAAATTTTGATTTAGTATTCTGATGAAAATAAACAAGTGAGAATGGAAAATGTAAATTTTTCATTTAGTTGCATAATAATTCTGCACATTAATAGTTGACCAATAATTATGCACACGTTGAAAGTCAAAACTTCACTTTTACGTTCTTAAATATTCGAGTTTGGGGTTTATTAACATTTTGGATTGACCGAGAGCACTGTAGTTGTTCAATTATAACATTAATCCTCATAATTACAGCTTGCCTAATAATTATGCACACAGTGTAGTGGTGGTGGACATTGCAATACCAAGCAATGGGAACATCAGGAAGAAGTAACAAAAGAAACTAGAGAAATACCAGGGGCCCAAAGAAGAGCAGGAGAAGGCCTAGTAGATGAAGGCACCAGTGGTTCCTGAGGTGATCAGAGCACTCGGGGCTGTAACCCCCAAACTGGAGGAGTGGCTACAGCAGATACCAGGAAAAACAACAGACATCTCAGCCCAAAAAAGTGCAGTTCTAGGAACAGCAAAGATACTGCGCAGAAACTTCAAGCTCACAGGTCCTGAGAGAGAGAGAGAGAGAGGGAGAGAGAGAGAGAGAGAGAGAGAGAGAGAGAGAGAGAGAGAGAGAGAGAGAGAGAGAGAGAGAGAGAGAGAGAGAGAGAGAGAGAGAGAGAGAGAGAGAGAGAGAGAGAGAGAGAGAGAGAGAGAGAGAGAGAGAGAGAGAGAGAGAGAGAGAGAGAGAGAGAGAGAGAGAGAGAGAGAGAGAGAGAGAGAGAGAGAGAGAGAGAGAGAGAGAGAGAGAGAGAGAGAGAGAGAGAGAGAGAGAGAGAGAGAGAGAGAGAGAGAGAGGGAGAGAGAGACCACCTGTGGAGGGTGAGGAAGAGATTTTTTTTTGTATATATATAAAATGGAAAACTATACTAACCTGTCACCAATCTGTGGATGCTTTAAGAATGTCATTTATGTGAGGGTCTATCTGCAGAACTCTAATGAAGTGCATCGGTGTAATATCTATTAACAATGCAGACAGTACATTTATATATGGGAGCCAGACAGTGACTCACTTGGATCACTTCATTCTCAGAGACATTCATGATAAATATTAAACTCAAAGTGATTGAAAGGACATAAGTGGAGGAGATTGTTATATGAAATCTTGATTACGCTGATAACGCCGTTTGAAAAAGTCATTTATTGTTGTTGCTGTCGGGAACTTTAGCTGGAAATATATTTTTAATATAAATACACAAAGCAAAAACTTGTAACAAGAAAGAAATTAAATCAGTGGTTTCATTAAATAATGCAACACTAGAGGAAATCAAAATCATTTTTATAATGGTGCATTACCTGGTATATATATTCTTCTAGTTTTATTTAACTTCATGTTAACAAAACTACACCAAAAGGAAAAATACATTGGCATTCAATTTTTTATAACAAGTAAGACAAAACTTGCATATTTGTAGACATAAAACTTACAGTGACAAGGCAAACTGGTGATCTAACCTTGACATCATACATCTCTCTATAACACAACTGTAACAAGACAATCAGACAGTATCAGAGTATTTCCCCTTTTGGCACTGACTACAGTGTACATGGGCAGTAAAAATCAAATAAATAGAATAATAAGATTACCTAATTATTAGATCTGATTTTAGGTGTACATGCACATAAGAAATCTGATCATCAAAAATACCAGATTAGATGTAATGGGTTTTAATTAAAATAGTATAATGGATTTTTAAATGACTCTTTCAGCCATTTTCTCTTTCATTTTTATCTTTTTATCAACCAGAAAGAAATCAGATTATGCTGTTTATTTACTTTCATTTACCTGTGGATGGAGGTAAGTCACGTGAAGGTCCTTTGGAGGTCTGCAGCCAGATACCGCGCCAGAAATCAGATAACGATCAGATTTTTACAGTCCATGTAAACAGACCAGCATAGTTTTAACTGCACTTAGCAAAACTGCCTCTATAGTTCTAATAGTTGCATGTCTGAAAATGTGTGGTGCTATGCTATCTGTTAAACCATGGGAGCCTCTGGGGGTGGGGGGGCCTCGAGGTGCTCTGTGTCCCCGGGCAACAGGTCCTCGTTGCTGAAGAGGTGATAGGGAGGAGTCTGTCGTGCTTCGATGATGAGTACGCCCTCTGGTGACAAGGAGGCGAAAACTGTAACTGGGTCCACGTCAATTGGGATTCTGCAAAGAGAAAGGAAAACAATAGATGCACTGTTATCAACTTCCTCTTTATTATCAACAACTTAACTAATTTTGCCATCAGACTGTTTATACTCAACACTGGTTTATAATTCCTACGTAAAACTGACTCTTGTGAGCTTTAAACCATGTTAGAACACTGTTAGATCATCAAAAACATTGCTGGAGTTGCGTTTTGTTTCATTCACAAATCCCTTTAAGAAATGTTGCGCCAACCGATTCTTAAATCACTTCTTCAGGCTACTGCTGATGTATATTTATACGCAGTACTGAACTTCATATAGACAGAATAATACAGAATTTTTTTGCTTGTCATTAACTGTCAAATAAAAACAATGATTCCCTTTTCTCCCCTTTTCAGTCTAAACAAGTGTTTCCCAAACTTTTTTTCTGGGGACCAATATTTTAAAAGTCACAAACCTTCACGACCTGAATCAATAGACATTATCCGTGAATCATAAAATAAAGGTGGATTTGACCATTATTGAGCATTAATGATGATATTTTATTGTTGACTGAGTGATCGTTTCTCTCTCAACAATTAGTATTACTCAAGTTACAATGAAAAACAGCAATTGAACAAGCAATAAAATTCATCTATAAGTTGCCTATTTGGATATTAAAGGTGAACATTTTTTTTTTTCCTTTTTCAACATTCAACTGAACCAGCAATATTGGAATAAAATAGTCAATGTGTCAGAACTGTATATTGCAGACCTACATGCAGATCATGACAAGGTGACCCCCAAAAAATCTCTTGTGACCCACCTGAGGGTTGCGACACAGTCAAACAATGGTCTAAACTCTTTTGCTTCTCCAGTCTTGTTCTTAAAAATCAAACATGGACATTTCTTTTTAGAACTTATCATTCTTTGCTACTCAAATACGAACTTTACAGCTAGTTAACTGATGCAATACAATCTACCCTGAAATCATTATAGTTACGCAAGACTTAAAAGAGTTGTGATACAGGACCAAAAAGAGAAGAAGTTGCAAATGAAACAGAAAGAGAAATTAAAAGCACTATTTCAGTCACAGTATCTCAGCAATAAACGGCGATAAAAAATAGAAATGGATGCACCCAGATCACCTTTACACAGTGTTGAAATCTTAACAGTATTTTCTTATATTGCATGGCTAAAAGTGAGAGTTTAAGATCTGACTCTAAAAACTAAAAGTTGAGCTGGCAGTACGTGCTTGTGTGTGCTCAGAGTATGTTAAAAGCACAAGTGGGAGGAACAGAGTGAGAGGAGCGCAGAGAGCCTGAAGATACCGCAGCATATTTCCACTCACAGGTCAAAGTACACTGTGACATTCCTCCAAAAGTCTTCAACCTAACTTTTCTAAGCACAGCAAGCATTTTTATCGACATTTTATCGATACCCAGAGCAAGAATCAAGTGTGAGTGACTGTATTTTATTTAATTTTGACAGTTACTGAAAGTCTTCTCCTCACTTTTCAAATATCACAGCTCCTCTCACACTCAGGAGATGGTACTTCTACTAAAAAAAAAAAAAAAAAAAAAAAAAGGAAAAGCTTGCAGTTTCCATGTAGGTGTGGGCTGTGCATCCAATTAAAGACAGTCTGCCACTCACACATCGCACCTGTATCTCCATCTGTGCCCGCACCTCCAGTCACACACACAAACGATTATTCAACATTACGCATTTTCTTTCTCTTTTCTGTCACTTTTTTTGGATAGAAACTGTCCCATTTTCCACAGCCATTTTGTGATAATTGGCTTCCCAAACTTGCGGCTCGCAGGATTTGCGGTTTTGATGGACACCAGCCAGAATGACGGTGTATACGAGGAAAATGTTGATCCGCTTTACCAGACACTATTGTTGTGAATGAGAGCGCGTAATGTGGGGAACATTGGAGCTTAATTATCGCAGAGTGGCCACATTTGTTTAACTTTAAAAGATGGCTGCTGTGTGTGTTCAGTGGAGAAGAGATTTGAAGCGTCTCTGTTGAAGCAGGTTTTGACCAAATTTGTCCAGGAACATTTATTGGCTTCAACTTGTTTCAGTTTGTACTATATATGGAACAATGTGCAGCTTTTAGTCCCAGTGCTCTTGCTTAAAGCCTCAGTTTTGGAACATTTTGCCAAAAAATAGACTAAAATAAAAGCTTTTTTTTTTTTTTTCCATTATGGGTGTGTTTATTGCACTGAAAAATAAATGAATACATGTGTCCTTACATTGAACAGGCTTCCGACTCCACAAACCTAACTTCTCCTGCTGATTTCCATGCAAATATTGTTTCTGTGCGTATAATATTCTAGCCAGGCTGGCGTCACCTAGTGCCTCCGCTCAATTTCATTTCTCTCCAGCGACTAGGTCAGGAATCAGAATACAATAGACGGTTCGCAAAAAACACCAGCCAATCAGCGAAGAGTGATATATTGAGTGTTGTCAACGATTCCTGAGATCGAGGATTTAAAGCGGAAATAAAGAAAATGTTTGGTGAATTTTATCAAGGGGAAAGACATTATTGCCCTTTTTCCTATGGGATTTGGGAAAAGCTTAACATACCAGTTATCCCCGTTAAAAATAAAAAGTGCCTGCCTACCATCGAGCGAACGAATTCTAAAGCAGCAAGGTCAGACAGTTTGTACGAAGTGAAATAAAGTAAAACTGGCTGATGAATCAGGCTAATAATATTCCACAGTATGGCATAAAACTTGTAATCGTTTTTTTTAAATATATCTTTCTATCTATCACCATGGAGAATGATGCGCTTCACTTTTTATTTCCATGAAACAATGCAGGTGACTTTTTATGACCAGAAAATTACACTGTATCTCTTTAAATCCATTCATAGACCAATGATATGCCCCAAATGTTTCTTTTAGACATTCTTCACTCCCATTTTTTGCCATTAGAGGGCACCAAACACATAATCCAAGCATCCATTGAGGAAAAGTGTTGTTGTTGTTGTCTCAGTCACACAAGTACTGACGTGGAATGTACAGTATGACTTTTTATGACTTTAACTTATGCTCACTTAACAATGAAAAGTAATCATGTTTCAATATTTGTGCACTCCACAAATATGCTAATATCTAACACGTACATTTTATTGTGTGAGCAAAACTTTGTAGATAAAAGTTTAGGTAGACATTTGAGGTGAGAGGTGAGTGGTGCTCCATAGAAGGCGTCCATTCATCATTTCTTGAAGAGTAGCTTTAAATTCCAAGCAGATTACATCATGTACAAACTGTAACTCACATGTCAAATTAAATCTACGTTCAATGTTAAGAGAAAATTTGCGCCACATTTAGACCATGTCTTTATCAACCACAGAGACACTTCCTTCTCCGACAGCACGACCATATATGGGCGTGCAGCGGTCTTAGTGCAAGCAGCCGTGTGTCTTTGTGAGTTAATATAAACATCAGTTTGACCCGGCCTTGTTTCTTCAGGCACACGCTGGTTTAATTAGAGAAAGCCCTGTGCTGTAGAGCCTCACACAGACACATGCTGGGTTTCCATGCTTGTGGAGACTGATGCCAACCTTAACTATAGTTACAGCTCTAGGAATTGTAAGATTAATCACAAGCCAATTGAAATTTGAATGGATGGAAGTCGAAAAACTGCAATTTGAAGTATTTTGAAGTAATTTTCTCCACAGACGGCAAAATATTCTGTCTTATTCTGGGCAGAAAACAGCTAACCCTAGTAAACATGTTATGAAATGTGATTCTTGTAAACATTTCTTTTCTTTTTTTTTTGTAAAACGTGAACTTTGAACAGATTCCTATTATCCAAACATAAATCACAAAGCTTGTCAGAAACATTGCAATCAGATATTTTCCCCAAATACTTTAACACTAGTCACTTCTTGCTTAACTGTCATCTAAACCTTGACCTATTTTAACCTCTATCTGAAGCTGCAATGATTTTTTTTTTTACCAGTTGATGTTGTGAAACGTGTCCCCCTCCCCCCTCCCCTCTCCAGCCAGTCTAATTACAGATGGTAGCTTTAAACCATGTTGATGATCTAATAATAAAGGGTTTACAAGGGGACCTGATTTTGTCCCCATAAGGTCGGCAGCCCCACATCATGAGTGTGAGTATGTGCACAGGTTTCTATCCCCGAGCTGTGAGAAATCCTCGCTTTCACTCTCACACAAACACTATTGAGTTTATTGAGCTAGAACATGGAGGCTGTCCCCAAGAGAACAAGGTCAGGTCAAGTCTATTTGTGTGTAGACAAATACAGGTGCAGCAGTAATAGAAACACAATCCAAAAGAAGACATTGCACTGAATTCAATATAGATTATGTACGATTGTGGAGACAGTGGTAGCATGTTCTGGAAGTGGTGTGAGGAGGGTAAGTGCATGGGCTAACATCAATGGAACGATCTAGAAGCTATAAACACTACCAAGTGAATGCAGAGTTGTATAAGCTCTGTGCTAAAATGGTAGAGACTATATTTCACCCTTTAATTTATTACACACTGAGATACAATTTCAGTTTGTGATTTAGCCAGCAATTTTAAATTGTGTGAGCTAGAAGACTAGTTTGATTCATCAGCCGGTTTCACTTTGTGGAAACTGTCTGACCTCACAGCATTAGAATTCATTCGCTCCAAGGTAGACGGGTACTTTTTTTATTTAACCAATTGCTGCTATTTGGTTGTGACGTACGTAATGCACCAAATTACGTAGGAAGAAGGGCAGTAACGTCTTTCACCCAAAAAATTCACCAAACATTCTCTTTGTCCCGGCTTTAAGTCCTTGATCTTGGGAATCGTTGCAAACACAAAATCTATGGCTTCGTCTACATTAATCTCAGCCGCTTTTTTTACTGTTGTGCTGTTCCACAAAAGGGACCCAGTCATGGCTTCACAGTTCTTTGGTGATTGGCCGGTGCATGGTCTACAACTTCTGGGGTTCTTGCTAACCGTCTAGTGTAGTTACATTCCTGACCTATTTGCTGGAGAGAAATGAAATTGAGTGGAGGCACTAGGTGGCACCAGCCTGGTTACTATAAGACCACCACTAACCATGATTTTTGTCTAATAGCCACAACAACAGAAAAGAATAAATAAAAATGTGTTCTGTTAGTTAATTACATAAACAAAATTCTACACTACAAAATTACACTGATCATTTTGCCAATGTATTTAATATGCTTAATATGCTATTTAGTGACGGGCAGGGGTCTTAATAAGTAGCCCTATGATTTCTTTACTGAGTGAAAAAGGTTGTCTGAAATAACATTGACTCAAAACCTAGATACTTAACAATATTTAAACTGGTATTAAAACTATATAGTATCAATGTCTTGGACTGTAGCTTTTTGTCATGGAGTTATAGTTTTTTCTATTAATGACAGAATGAGAAATCCCTTGACATTTCACTGCATGTTATTAAACACAAATACATATCTAGCTATCTATATTGAAGAAAATAACAAACAAAAACAAAAACAAAATGAATCTATATCAGAACTAAGACCAATGGTAAATGGTAATGGTATCGAATTAACTACTTGTTTACTGACTACAAGATGTTGTATATTGTCTAAAGAGAGTGTGTTTAATGTCGTGTTTAAATCAAAGTGATTATCAGTATTTTTTAGTATCAAAATTCAGTTGAAAACCACCAGCCTACAGCTACAAATCTAACATGCATTGACTTTCCGATCATTCCCACTTCTCCATAAAGTTCACTTCCTCCTCCATCGTTCAAGGAGCCAATTGGCATGTAGCGGAGTTGTTCTTTCTGACAAAGTCAAATCCCAGCTGCTGTGTTTCGTGGGACCAGGGTCTCAGGCTTATCTGTCCAGCTCGCGGTTTATTTACCACCGGCACATTCTATCTCACCCATTGATTTTGTACAACTGCCAACAAACTGTCCAATATGCTTTTCCCTGGAGCAGAAACACACAAGACATGGGCTGGACAAAGTCTGTGTAACTTATAACCTGTGAAACACACACCCAAACGCACAGTGCATTTACAAACAGGGCAACGGAGGAGGTAGGCCACTCACGTTGTGTTCTACTTCAGATGGCATTCACGTTCTGGTGTGTGCTGTTGTGGAGATACATGACCCCAGGTTTGAAAACTACCTTTGCTCCTCAACAACATCACACTGAGATAATAATTTACATATTTAACCCAAGTACATGAAGCAGAACATCTACTCATGGAGATGGATGAGGTGAACATGTTTGTGTGTTAATGTTTGAATAGTAACAAGACTATATTGCTAAACTATACTGGTTGGTTTCCTTGTTATATGAGTTGGGTTTGCATGAATACATCATAGCTGCAATATTGCAGCTATACCATAATGAAGATATGTGAGGAGCATATTTAGATAATGTGTTTAATTAAAAGGAAATTAATTGCAAATTAATTAAAATTTTAAATTCAATTCTTGGATGAGCAAGTGTTTTCAATCCGTGTATCATTCATTCATTTGTGTTTCAAAATAAAACCAAAAATAAGAAAATGAAAAAAACAACTATTTTCTTCATTATTTGTCACCAAAACTAAAATGAAAAAAACAGATAACGATTCGTTTTTTTCAATTTTCGATTTTGTGTTCAAATGAATAATGGAAAAAACGGGTAACGGTTTCCTGTTTCGGAGACTTAAACTGCAATGCTGGACTTTAGCACCGCATACGGACTGAACCAGGACTAAACCAGGACTGAGTTTTGGGACGGGCCTGGAGGTGCGCCCGCTAGAGATGCGCGGATTGCGGTTACAACCGCGGACTCCGCGGCTAAACCGCGGGTCAGGCGGATGACGTGACGAAAAATAATATTTTAATTAAATTCGGGCGGGTGGCGGATTCACTACTCAAATAAAAACCTCTGAACTCGGAGCAAATGGGAGGAGACCGAGTGGATGGCGGGCGGGTGCTGTTTTGAAAATCTGTGGTTGCAAATGGATAGCGGGCGGAATGATGAGTTTTACGATGCGGTTGCGGATGAAAAAGTAGCCCATCCGCGCATCTCTAGCGCCCGCATAGACTGTCAGGTGATCAGGACTGAGAACGGTACCAGAGTGGGACCAGGACCAGAACTGAGACCGGGACAGAGACCAGGACTGAGACCGGTTTAGTCTTGGGTTAGTCCTGTTTAGACATGGTTTAGTCCTGGTTCAATCCATATGCAGTGCAAAAGTCCAGCATTGCAGTTTAAGTCACGGAAACAAGAAACAGACGTCATCCGTTTTTTCCTTTATTCATTTAAACACAAAATTTTTGGTTTTATTTTGAAAAACGAACAAATGAATGATACACGGATTGATTTCATTTTTTACAGTGCACATATAATTACCACTGCATTTTTAACTTATGTGCTAAATATATTTCGGTTTTTGGGTAACAAAATGTACAATTTATTACTGGTACATTCATTCATGCATTATCATTTATTGTGCATAATATGCTTCTCCCCTCGCTTGGCACTCCTTTAAACAGTTCCCCAAGAGCAGACTTAGAGCATTAATCACTCTCCCAAACTACATTCACAAGCAAGGTGAGTGAAGTGTCTTGCCCAAGGACACAACAGTAGCATGTAGCCTGTTGCCATAACACATTTTGAAGCCCGATATTTTGGTATAGAGATATACTGTGATAAATGATAATATTTAAAATATTTTATGCCTCTGACACAAAAACAATAATGCAAAATATTCCCAGTAAACCATTTTTATATAGAGAGTATTCTTAAATAGCAGAATTAACCAATACTTTGCCACAGAAGTCAACCTTTCACAGCTCAAATGTTATTGTATTACAACAATCCCCACTTTTGCCAAGAAACTGTACACATAAATATTGAGTCCCTAAAAATCCAATACCATCTGTGATATATTGAATAAGCTATAGTATTTATCGTTGCCTAGTAGTATGTGGAGGTCGAAGCTGGAACTCTGCCAGTCCACATTTAAAATGGCTGCTCTACCATCTGAGCCTTTGCCTTATATTGACTGTGACTCTGGATACCATGAACATAAATAAACAGAAACATAAACAGCTTGTTGACTTGAGCGGCAGCGAGAGTCTCATTTAAATGATACTTCCCTCTCAGACAAACATGAATAATGACAGTGGTCCTATCTCTCCTGTAGCGACGGATTTGTGTATTGAGGCCAGTTATTTATATATGATCCCCTCTTCTCCCCCTCCCCCTCCGCACACTGTGCCTGTCATCTGCGTCAGGTTGAGCTCCGATCGGAAGCACAGACCATCCGAGGGTTTTCCAATTAAAAGGATTGTGATCTGAACTGTGTCCAACGTGCACAACAGCTCACTATTAGCACGAGAAGACGAGCACAGACCGAGTGACGCGGCGCAGGCTCCAGACTCGCACCAGCGATTAACTCAACTGTTTGAAGCCTTCATCGCCCAATTAAAAGACTCCTATGTGGGGAAGCAAAGGCTGTATGGGCCCAAAGCTTAAACCACAACTTTAAACTTAAAATACTGATATTAAAATCATCAAACTACTTTACTGTTAAACTTTTAATAGGCCCATTACACTATGTTCTCATCTAGGTTATAATGTTGTTTTCTCATCGCAAACATACCAGGAGTCAACACACAATCCCAAATATTCATGCCAAGTCCTTCTCTGAAACGGTGAATACTCTGTTCCACCTTGTGATGTCATGTGGTGATACAGGAGGAACTTCACTGTGTTTTTCAACTCCAAAGACCTTCACTGGGATCATTTGGATGATTTCAGGTCTGGAATTGCTAATCTCTACTGAACAAAAGATAAACGAAGCTACTAACTTGAAAACTACAGTTTCATGACATTCATAAAAAGGAACAGAGCATTTTGAACTTTGGAGATGATAAAGAAGGGTCAAACATGTGAATTAATCAAAACGCTCCAGATATTTTGAGGAAGTAACAATATTTTAAAAAGGCTAAAGCTCACAAGAGTCAATTTTGCATAATACAGGAACTGTAAAAATGTAACCCTATCCCTAATAATAAAAATCTGTTAAGATTCAAGTCACACTTACAGTTTTAAATGACGTAACTCTATTTACTTACTGTATTTTCTTTGTAAAATTCTTTGTCACTATGCCTCCTTCTTCCTGTTTTTCTTCATGTTTTCCTGTTGAGAAAAAAGCACAGTGAATAATTCATAATTTCAAAATTTTGTGTAATAAACTGTTAACACCCTTTTTATATGTTCACAAGTTTTCGGAGCTTGTGGTTGGAATTTTGGAGTGTCAGATCATCGTAATAACTTCCATAGACTGGTCTGTTTGAATTTGAACTTGATATATTAGATTTTTATTGAATGGTCACCCAAAAATGTAGTATGTACAATATTAGTACAAAAGTAATTAGTTTGTATCTATAATTCAACCATCAACAGCTAAAATGTTATCATATTAAGTAAATACTGAACCCCCCAAAATGATTGTTTCATTAGTCATTTACTGAATGATAAGTCAATATCCTCCAACAAATACTACAAATGCTAGCAAACTACTAAAACACTATTTATTTGTAAGCTATGTGTATAGGGAAATCCAAAATCCAGGGTTATTTATTTGGGGTATTATCTAACAGAAACAGGTGTGTCCAAACCACATTGATAAACTTTCTGTCAACATCCACAGACGACAGCTCAAACAAATGGAAAACTCAACTTTTTCCACGGCAACAAGGGAGAGGGCGGGTGATACCAAAGCATTTCATCATTTGTTGCGTAAAAATTTCCATCACAATGTTTAAATATTGAGACAGTTTTTATTTGTTTTGTGTTTCCAGGAATGACTCAGACATCTTAGTGTAACTTTCGGGGGAGTAACTTTAGTTTGACTGGTCCTGTGTCTCCTTTTTACTGCAGCTGCTCCAGGCCTCCTAAATGTCACAGCCCTCCACCTCTCTGTGCTATTCTACACCCTCATTCAGAGCTCTATGAACACAGGTCATTAGTGTCTCATCACTGTGAGAACTTTCCCTGATTACATTTTGTCCACTGATATTTAGAATAACAGAGGTGTGGTTGTTTCTTAGGACAGTTGTGCCAGATTCCTGGGACTGGATGTAATATATCCATTATACAAGGAGAGCGCTGAGATGAATGCAATCTCATTCTCAAGGGCTGTTATGCAACTTTGTACAGCTTGTTTCTCCCTCCCTCTAACAGCAGTTTTCTGCTTCGTGCAAAAGTTGATCTTAATAAATAAGAAAACTGATGCTAAATCTAAAATCATTTTAAAAAGGAGATGAATAATCTGAAGAACAGTTAAGATTATGTGTCTTGCCAATGGACACAACAGCAGATGGCACTGGAGGAAGCACAGAATCATTGGTTTGTTTGTTTTTGTTTAGCAGAAACAATGACACGAAGCAGTCCTGCCCAAAGTCGCCAGTAGAACATTATCTATGCCCTGTCAATCTGATGAACATAAAATTGAGCTATAGAAATGTTGTTTGGTCAGTAAGTGTTTTGAGCCCTGAGGCTTGTGACCACAGCGGCAGGCCCACTTTTAGAAAACTCTGCCTGCTGCCGGTGCAGCTGATGCACCGGCAACTGGCATACCAACAATGTGGCTATAAAAAGCTCTGAGAGGTCTTTTTAGGGTGGGTATCCCTGGAATCTATTAGCCACACCGGACGCACAGATGGCTACAGCATATCGGCCTAAAGAATCAGACCTGATTCTTTAGATGTGATCTGTGAGGGGCAGGAGCAGCACCACGTGTACAATTGTTTCTAGAAGCTTCTCTGCTCCAAGGGCTGAGCTGTTGTCACAGGCCACAGTCTAAAAGCAGCACAGGAACAAGTGAGGAGTGAGTCTGCAGGAATCTGAGACAGGTGTGAGAGCTCAGGGTCTGCCAGGGCGCCCCCATGGCCACAGTCAGGACTGCACTGCTCTGCTCTGGGCCAGGCTGAGACAAGGGCCAGATTAGAGCCAATACTCTCCAGGCAGCCCATCTTTCATTTCATTAGCTCTTGCTTATGTGGTCTGTGATTCACCAACAGGCTTTAAAAAGCTTTTTTACTACTCACAAATCTAAAAATACAGCTAAAGCAAGTCTTAAAGATTACTAAGAGTCATCCCTGGAGTTAAAACGTCATTAGGCTATTATAAGAGTGGAAACTTTCGTTTGAGTTATGACCAGTATTTCGGGCTGAAGCTTATATATTAATAGATTATAACATGTCTGTAGGGTACCGTTAGATCCACCTTGGTCTGATCTCAGAAGGTGGTCCCGTTTAAGGCCAACAGGTGCACCAAGTTCATCGTTAACAAAAGTTATAAACGCCTGAAAAGCGCGCACTCACCTGACACTTCCACAAAACCGTCTCGGGTTTTCACGTGCAGCTCCTCTGGCTTGAAGCTGTGTACATTGACACACACTTTCCACGGCTCTCCGTTGGTTGTGGTAGGGGCGTTGTGTGACGAGGGCTCCCCGTATCTGCTCGTGTACATCGTGGGTCCTCCCGTGGACGTACGCGCGGGGAAACCTGTGCGTAAACCGCCGCTGAAAGGCATCGGTCCTATCCGCGTGCTGAGGCGACCAGGCCGTGCCCAGCCTGGCCAGTCCATAGCGAGGTCATCAGGGAAGGGAGACATCCCAAAGTCCTCATTCATGAAGCGGGACGCGAGAGACTGGTCCCGGAATGGAGACTGGTCTCTGAACGGGGACTGATCTCTGAACGGAGAATCGACGAAAGGGTCCCGGGGGAAGCGCCGAGGGCTCCCCATAGTATAATACTCTCCCTCAGCCATGAGTCGAAAGTTTCAAATGGAACAAAGTGAAACAAATAGCTCGTAGTAGAACGTTCAAAACTTTTACGTCCTCGGAGGTAAGTTGCGCATCACCTTTACGCACGTCGTCCCCTGCTGATCCCACAGCGGTTTATTCCAAGCCTGTGGCCTCTGCTCTGGCTGCGGGTTTTATACTGCGCGCAGATGTCCCAGACGATGTGTCCACGCGGGCAAGTGTCGGGAAAGTGCTAGGGGGATCTGGGAGTACAGGCGCACTGCAAAAAGAGTTGACTACATAACTAATGACACGATGACCCTCTGACTCCTCCCACTCACTCTAAACTAAACTCCTCTCTGAGTTCTGCCCCCAATAAATCACTCACTTTTCTTGGCAAACTAGATGAAAGAAACAATAGCCTATTATTAATGTTTTAATCGATTAAAACGTGGAAATCTGGCAACTTCTAGTAGCATACAGTGACACATGTCAACAATGTGGTAGTTACTATGAATAAAATAGGACACATATAGTATCTAAGTCAGGTTATATAAACTTTCTAAATCAATATTGATACAAATTGTTAATGACAACAAAGGTCATAGAAGTCCTGTATATGAGGACTTTGTCCCATTCAGAAGAGTCAACATTTTGTTTGAAATTTTTAATCGCTATGGCAACTGTCCTCATTTTCTTAATTTTTTTTTTTTTGGGGGGGGGGGTGAGTTTGTATATTTTTACAGTGTACATGTAACAGCTGATGCAGGGCGGGCCTTTCTATTGCCCAAATAAAGTTGTGTGCTCCTGTCAGTCAGCTGCTATGCCCCCTCCTATGTGTGACTCAATGGCTTTTTATTAACTCTTAGGTCATGGTGCCTTGGAGAAAACTCTTTCACGTCATTCAGAGACTAATATTACTCCAGGTGCATGATGCTATACACTGTTATAAGAAGAAGACGGCAGGCAGTTGAAGATAGAAGATGATTTTATATCTCTTGTTATTCTCAACAGGCAGAGACAGAGGGGTCAGGGATAGTTCCAACTGACACTGTTTACCATCGCCCCGCTGACACAGATCAAAAGTGGCAGCAGAAGCAACACCGATCTCAAAAATGCACCTCTTGATTCAGAATATAGGGGGTTTGTTTTGTTATACACCCAAGAAATGATTCACTATTGCTATAAGAGCTTGTTACTATGAAAAAAATTGAATAAAAAATATGGTGATGTAGTTTTCTACGTATCCCTTTAGATTAGGGGTGTCCAAACTGTGGCCCAGGGGCCAATAGCAACCCTCAGACCAGCTTTTATTGGCTGAAAAGCTTTCTGCTTAAAATGCCTAATTAATCATAGGCAGTACTGTTTACTGCAAATAGATGAAATTATAACTTCAGCAACATTACACTGCATGATGATGCTATGATGATGCAGCATGATGATGCAGATGCTATGTAAAATCCACCCATCTGAATGATCCGTTACATTGACTACGAATTTTTGGCCCTTGACTTCAAATATGTTTCAAGATGTGGCCCTTGAAACACAAAGTTTGGACACCCCTGCTCTAGATAGAAGTTGGTTGCTGTTTACATCATTGTGACCAATCCTTACAAAACTGCGAGGGGAAAGCTTTGTTTTAATTAAAGCAACACACTGTGATCAAAAAGCAAACAATTTTCAATAGTTTTATGTTGATTCAAAGCAAGTAATTAGATTTTAAGATAGTCAATATAAATATATGCTCATTTAACATTACACATACGGCCAGTTTTTATTTTTTTGGAATGAGAAGCTATATTTTCTTTACTTTTAACGAGTTTACTCAGAACCATGAAAGTTATAAAACACTGACTTTGATGCATAAGAATCTCAGGCTGCTGTAGTTGAGTTAACTATGACACAGACAACTACACTGAATTTTGACCCCCAGAAGTTGCTGTAGTTTGATAGAGACCATAATGTAGTACATAAAATGGGGATGGATTTTGATGCAACCAAAATGTGATCTGAGCACTTTTTATTCCAATGTGAACATAACCTTTTGACTATAACATTTCACATTCTGCAAAGCAAATCACTATAGATCAATCAGTATGCATATTTACATAACATTACTTTACATTACTCTGTACATGTTCCCAAGTAGATTTCTGCACAATGTAAACTTTACACAGTGAAATGAGGAGGGGTCACTGGCTTTGCATTCGCTCCCACAGAGTTTGAGAAACATATTATCACCTCATGCTTTGTGGGTGAAGTCTGTAAGTGCATAGAACAGTTATGCCAAGCCCAGAGAAGTCCAACCAATCCAGGAGTCCACACTGTCTAATAAAAATAATAATAATGATAAAGAAGTACAGTTCCTTCTTTTTCAAATGTCCAAGTGGATAGCAGTGAAATAAGAAAAAAAAATAACAGCATATAAAAATAAATTACATTGAAATATAAGTTGACAGTGTTGCATAGAAAGAGTGACCACAATTGAGAGGGTATAAAACCAATAAATAATAAATAAGCAGTAAATATATATGCAACACTACAATGCAAAAATATCTTTATAAAGTTATGGCTTGTACATAAAGGACAACATTGCAGGTTTGGTGAAATGCCAATGTAATCACAATGTAAAATGCCAAACATAAGAAAATGCTGAATTAAAACTCGAAAACGTTTCTGTTCTGTTAATTATTATGTATATATCTGGATGTATTTTGTATTGACACAGTCCGTCTTCAAAGCGTGACAAGATTTACATTACAGATTTCTACTTTTAAACAATCTCTCTTTCATTTCCTTTATGCCATTATGAATACATGCATCACAAATTTCGGACTTCAGGTCATCGCGCAATGCATACTGGGAAGGATTTTCCGAAAAAAAAGTGAACCGCCATGTTTGTTTTCCCAGTGAGATGGTCTATTGACAAAGCCAGTCTTTTCTAGTCTTTTGAACCATATTGTTTTTATTTCTGGTTCTGATATTGTCATATTTTAGCTTTGGGATTTGGACATCGTAATTGTATGGTTGTTGTATGTCCTAACAGCGGAAAATGGCTCGAGAAATGGGCTTCGGAAATTTGCGAACTTCATAAATGCAAAAGGGAATCAGATCTATGTGACTGCAAACCTCCGTTCAAACTATTTCCCTGCCCAATGAAATAGAAAAGTATTGAAAGGCAAAAGGTGATGGGCAGTATTAATACACAGAAAGGACGAAAAAGGTAACCTTTCACCGCCTAAGAAATCATCCCGAGTTTGCATTTTGTATGTGCAGTACATATCGGTTTGATGCTCATTTTTTCAGAAAATCCTTCCCAGTATTTCCGAAAGTCTGAAATACGTGATGCATGTATAGCAGTGGATCAGGATCTTGGTCTGGACAGGAGTACTTCGCTGGAGGATAAGGCTGTGTTGACTATACTGTAATGATAGAGCACCTGGACATGGGTAGAACATGCAAACTACTGTTGGTGAGAGTGCTTGTGTATCCAGTGGTGGGAGATATCTTGAAAAAAAAAAAAATCATTTGACAACTTTATATTTGCTTGACTCCAAAACACGTATATAATATTTTGTGCAATTCTTTAACCTCAACAATTTACAGGCTTTAACAAAGTGTGACTATAGTCGCCAGGATAATAAAAAATACAGTAAAGGTGTGAGATATTGGCATTTTGCAGCCACATCACTCCAGGGGTGATCTGCATTTATCTCTAATGGTGGAACGTTTAGGAGTTACCATGGTGACACAATGTGCACGTTAGTAAACACTGTCAAATCAAAAAGTTTTAAGATTAGGAGCGTGTGATCAATACAAGCGTTTGTGGTTCTGTTCAGGAGATTTCAGCAAAAAAAAGTGAGTGTGTGTAACTGAAAAACACAGTTGTGACAGTAATGTGACACAAATCAGCTTACCTGTTGTTCCAGCTATGTCAGATCTTTCTGGTCAAATTGTGTTAAAATAAAGCTCAGATTGGTCTAATAAAGCCTCAGACAGAGCAGAGCCTACAGTTATCATCACACCCCCAGAAAATGTTAATATTCGCTGGAAACTATCAGTACTGAAACCATCTGTAATTTTAAAACAATCCTCCATTCACATACTGTACCATTCTCAACCCGGACATTTACCAACACATTTTAGCACATGTGAGACAAATTGCTGTAACATTGTCTGAATATTGTCACCAGGATAATGAAAAATAAATTGAGATATCCATTTCTTGTCGATAGCGCCCACCCTCGCTTGTATAACCATAATGATAACACGCTAGTTCATTACATCTGACCTAATACAGCGCTGAAAAACTGCTCTGACATTGGTGAAGGGGAGAGAAATTCCCCGAGACGACGCCATGTTTGCAGAGGTTGGGAGCTGTATTACACGAGCTGACATTTCAATAGTTTTCCACTTGATCAGAGGATAAATTAATTTGACATTTGGTCTGACAGGTGCTCTGCTCGCCGTCGGCCTTCCCTCCCCGTTTCATTTTTCAGACAGAGCGCCGTGTTTGTTCTGCTGCGTGTGAAGTGGCCAGATCACAGCTATAAAGCCTGCCTCGTTCTGATAAGGTTTTTCTCTGGGAGCCATTTCTAAAAGGCACCCATCAAGCCGTGCAATTTCTCCTGCAAAACACCATCCACAAAATGACAAAATTAAACGTGGTAAAAATCTTAGTTAAACTGCCTATATTACGTTGTTTTCTATGTTATAATGTTGTTTCCTCCTTAACAGCGTGTCTGGAGTTTTGTTTTGTTTCATTCACACATGTTTAACACAAACACGCTGCAAACTGAAAACAATGTGATGTCACGTGGTAATACAGGAAGTGTTCCACTGTGTTTTTAGGTCTATACAATTTCACTAGAATCATTTGGATGATTTCAGGCCTGGAACTGCCAATCTATACTGAACTAAATGTAAAAGGTAACTGTTAACTTGAAAACTATCACTGCATGACATCACAAGGTGGAACAGAGCCTTTTGAACTTTGAAGATGTAGACAGACTAAGGCCCAGGTACAAGGGTATTTTAAAAAATTGAGAGATGTCTTTTTCTTTGTACCCATCTTGTTCACGCAAAGGGGGAATTTGCCTCTGAAAATGAATCTTTCTAAAATCTCCGGCTGGAGTGGAGATTCTGGAAAACTACAGTTTTGTGTTTTGTAAAGTGAGATAAACTGAGTTTTAGGCAGCTGACACTCCAAAAGGGTGACCAGTGTTTACCATTTGCTCTGATGATGATCATGGAAACATTCAGAGTAGCAGTCGCCAGAGACAAATGACGGCTTGGAGGTCAGCAATTTTGCAACTTCTTTAACATATCTGTGGAGAGGTGACCCCACTCAGTAATGCACGTTTTTCAAGGTATTTTTGAGTAATACTTACAGCTGTAATTAAATAAATGCTACAGTTTTGAATCTTATCCAGGTGCTGCCCATAGGCTTGGTGTAGTTATGATGGTGCTCAATGGTGTATTTATGCAGGTTGATGTAAACTAAAACTTTTTTGAAAACGATGCTATGTGCACAATGTTATTTTGGAAAATGGAGGGAGGGAAATATTTGTTTCTCAACATACCCAGCTGTGTGTAAATGTAGCCTAATAAACCAGCATTACTCAAACATGTGTGAATGAAACAAAACACAACTCTGATTATGTTTTTTGATGAAGTAACTGCATTATAACACAGCTTAAAGCTCATAGGATTACATTTTTGTATGTGTAAAAGTATGTGACTTTTAATATAATTTTTTATGTATTTAAAGGTGCTTTACGTAACTTTTTCTTATTGACTTGCTTGAAATGTTCCACATTATGCCATTAAACCTATCTTACATGCATTTATTCATTTATTGGAATTTTTATTGCTCAAAATTGTGTTTAAAAACATAAAGTCTTACAGTAAGTAACTAGGCCTGGTGCTATCTCCTGCTTGTCTTTATGGAGATAGATAACTTAAAGCCATACGGTGGAACATCCCAGGGAAAGCAATAAAATGTCCAAATGTATATAGTGCACCTTTATTGTGGTATAATTAGTTTCTTTACAACATCACTTTAGGCAAACTGCCATTACCCAATTCATATTTTCTTGCAAACCTTATACAGAAGACTATCTGTTCTCCTGTTTGACAAAATGCAGCAATTTTTCTCAAACTAAATTTCTCAAAAGAATAAAAGATCCAAAAATATCTGTGTTTAGCTTGCTCTTCCATCACACCATGGTACCTCACCAATATTGGTAAAACTATAAACTTGGTGGAAAAACAATGTATTTCCCACAATGCACTTCCCATACTGGTAAAAAGGAAGCAAACCATTCAGATCCCCAGGTACATTTTAAATCTCCTTTTTGCACCAACTTTTCTCATAATTTTTGCGGCGTGTGCTGATGCAAGACGATGAACAAAGCAAACAAACATAAACATTCGTCTCTGTGGTCCTCTCCGTGGGCAGGGAGAACAACAAGTACTTCCATAACAGCCGTGTTGGGCCTCAGATGCGATATTTCCACAGCCCACTGCTCCTATGTGCTCAGTGCTGCCCTCTGCTGGTCCGGGCTCAGTCCCTTAATATTCCATGGAGCACCAACCTAACGCCTTTTTCTTTTCCTGTGGCATTTGTGCACGTGTCCACTGCTCCGGCTCCGACTGCGTATGCCGAATATGGAGTTCCAGGAGGAGGAGCGGCTGTAGCTCCTGTAGGAGGAGTAGGAGCGACTGCGGCTGCGACTGGGCCTGTAGGGGGCGCTGCGGGAGCGACTGCGTGTGAACAGGCTGCTCCAGGATGACACGCTGGTGCTGGATGAAGGGCTCCGTCTGAAGTATGGGACCGGGCGTTTCCTGGCACTGGAAGAGAGAAGAGGGTCAAATGTGTTTAAGAAATATGGCAAAAAGAAATGTGAGACGTTACATGTTCATCTCCTCTGTCTCCTTCTTTTGGATACTCAAAATAAGTTATGAATACATGCATCACAAATTTTGGACTTCCGGTCATCATGCAGTGCATACTGTTAAGTATTTTCCGAAAGGGTGAGCATCAAACTGCCATGTTTGTTTTCCCAGTGGAATGCGTGTATTTACAAAGCCAGACTTTTCAAGTCTTTTGAACCATATCGCTTTTGTTTCTGGTTCTGATATTTTCATATTTTAGTTTTGGGATTCGAATCATAATTGTGTGGTTGTTGGATGTCCGAACAGCTGAAAACGGCTCAAGAAACAGGCTTTGGAAGTTTGTGAACTTCATCAATGCAAAAGGGAATCAGATCTATGTGATTACAAACCTCCTTTCAAACTGTTTCCTTTCCCAGTGGAATTGAAAAATAGTGAAAGGCGAAGGTGATGGGCAGCATTGATACACAGGAAGGATGAAAAAGGTAACCTTTGGCTGCCTAAGAAATCATCCTGAGTTTACAACGAACATTTTGTATGTGGAGTGCCGTCAAAGTGGGATCCTGTTTGTTAAGTGAGAGGTACAGAAGACAAGCAGGCTGAGCTGGCACTTTATTGTCCGACTGACTTTCCAGCAAAATCACGTCTTGGTCGCTTTGCAGTGGAAGGTGTTTCTTGACGAACAGCTGGTGCCTTTCGCATTGGCGTTGACTTTTTAAATTCATAATCGAGGTGGAGCGAGGGATCGGGATTTTGCTTTGATGGCGCTCCACATACAAAATGTTGGCTTCAAACTCTGGATGATTTACTCAGTCAGAGGTTACCTTTTTCATCCTTCCTGTGTATCAATACTGTCCATCACCTTTCACTATGTTTCAATCCCACTGGAAAGGGAAACAGTTTGAATGGAGGTTTGCAGTCACACAGATCTGATTCCCTTTTGCAGTAATGGAATTCGCAAACTTCTTTCTTTCTTGAGCCTTCTTCAGCTGTTAGGACATCCAACAACCACACAATTACCATGTCCGAATCCCATAACTAAAATTTGACAATATCAGAACCAGAAAAAAATCGATATGGTTTAAAGACTTGAAAAGACTGGCTTTGTCAATAGACGCATCCCACTGGGAAAACAAACATGGCGGTTCGATGCTCACTTTCTCAGGAAATCCTTCCCAGTATGCATTGCGCAATGACTGGAAGTCCAAAATTCATGATGCATGTATTCACCATAACCAGTCCTACTCTGTCTATCCTAGGAAAAGTTTCAGTGGTAGTCATCTGTATGCTATGTTTTTCAAATATTTTTCATGTTATGTACTACTCCCCAAAAAATCAAGTTTGGCTTACTTTCATGCAGTGGCTCCTTCTCCATCTTCACTAGAGCTCACGCTAACTGCACCGGGACTCGGGGATGGGTGAAGAGCAACGAGAGGTGTATGTGGCAATGTGAGGCGCTTCATTAAATTCGAGTTACTTGGGGTAAACGTGGACAGAATTTTCTTCCCGGGGCACAGTTATACTTAACATACACATTCTTGCCCTTTATTTCAATGAAGGAGAAATAGTGTTGGTATTTCCAGTTTGAAAAGGCTACCTTTGAATGTCCCCGGCTTGTCGCTGCCATTTCTGTTGAGTTTGTCTCATTTAACACTGGGAATAACATACACATGATACGAATTAGCAGCTGTGGCTGAATCGTTTCAAGTTAGGAGGGAGGATTTCGCCCTTTGACCCTTCTAGATTCAATCAGACTGTAGAAGGGACTAGCAGGTGAGGCAAATAACATACAGTATAACTTCTAGCTGCAGAATGTTAATGGCTTCTGGATCAAAGTCAAAACATTTACAAGTCCAAAACATGGTTAAAAGAAGAACCTTTGAAATCATATATAATGAGTTGTAACTGTATACATACAGTTGATTGCTTGTGTTTCTCCGTACGTTATAAAGTAAAGTATAGTGTAGTGTTATAGTAGGCAATTGTCAGTAGGCTGGTAAACCAATAGAAAGAATTACGGCTGCTTATGAGCTCTCTAAAAATCAAGTACTAGCCAACATATTCACACATGGAATGTAGGCCAATATATGGGTATAAGTGTCTTGCCCATGGACACAATAACAATATGAACTGGCTAGAGATGGATTTGAACTATAAGCGACTAATTTAAAGATGTTCAGTGTTCCCCCTGATCCCTGATCCTGTTGCTCAATAATGACTAATAGTAGTAGTAGTAGTAGTAAAGAGAGAGAAAGAGAGAAATTCAAGTTTTGCCGCACTTCTCAGTCGCCTTTGTGTTTCAGTCAAAGGTCTTAGTACAGTTTAACAGGAGGACTGGTCAGTTAAGGTCATAGCAGGTAACTGGAAAAGAAACTTTTATTTATCTGAATAACCATTACCAAATCAAATACAAACATGTTGTGCACTTAAGTCATCAGCCCCATATTCCAGAGCAATGTGGAGCTGCCAGTAAAAGTAATGGTTGTCAGAAGGACATAAACATGGAGGAAGCACACATTCAATGAAGACAGCTGCTGCTATTTTGTGCATATCCTTCAACACAAATTAATTGGGCTACCATCATATGCCAGCCTGTTTTAGACTCCCACTTTCTTTCTGTTTGTCTGTGCTTGTTTGTGTCTCTTTTGGCTGTATCTCTGCCTGGGCTAAAAGCCATTTGCGAAGCATGGCTCATAAAAATCAAAGCAAATGACTCTTGGTTATGAAGAACTGAGGGGGAGTACAATAAAGACAGCAGGTGGTTTGTTCTAGCACAAGGTTTAAAATGCACAGTCTACTGTATGGGTGAAAAACACGTACCTGGTAATGCGGCGTGCTTCCAGGTGGCTTGGCGAGTCTCTTCTTCTCTTCCTCATGGGGGAGTAGGATTTGCGTCTCCTTCTCTTCTTATTTGAATGTGTCACTTTGGACTCTCTGGAGCTAGATGTTCTCCTTCTTTCTCGTAATCTATGAAGCATTGAACAGTGTAAAACATTTGATATTCCAGAGAAGAGAACATGAGATATGGAAATGTGGTTCACCTGTCCATGCTGTGTCTGCAGGAACTTCCCCGGGAGCTGCCTCTGTGCCACAAACTCGAGGAGGAGCTTGGTGAACGGGAATATGAGCTGGACGAGAGATACAATAATACTGAGTTTAGTTGTACCTAAAGAATAAGTCTAGACTTGTAGGTAACACAGATAACATGTGAGGTGTTATGTGAGAATACCTCAGGGCTGGGTCTGCCAATCTAATTACAAATGGTGCTGTGCCTGATTTTTATTGTTTTAAAAAAGTGAAAATCAGAAATAGTTCATCTGAAATGGTTTGCAGTAGTCAAAAGTTAAGTTAACTCATGCCTCCTGAGTATCCTAAAAATTCCCTGTGATAGTGAGTTTATACATGCTTTTTACAGTTTTTTACAACACTGAGACCAAAGTGGAGTTGAGAAAATGCAACGGTTGGCTTCAAGTGTAATGTAAGCTGGTCCCACCTGCACGATGAGAGAGAGACGCTCCGTGAGTAGTGTCTGGAGCTCATGGAGGATCTGCTGCTGCTGCTGCTGGGAGAGCGGCTCCTGTGTGTCCTGGGCTTCCTCCTGCTTCTGTGAGAACAACAGGACTTCACTGACTCCTCCTCTTGACCACAGCCCACAGTCATCTGCTCTCTTCAACACAAAACACAGAAAAATACATTTAACCCGAGAGTTTACATAAGCGTGAACTAATGGAAGACAAACAGCATTCCCTCAACCTTTTATGCTTGAAGCCAGTGTATTAATCCAGATCTAATCAATATCTAAAAAGTAAATATCCAAGTTAAAAGCACAAGCCCAGCTGAAAACAGGGTAGCTTGCTTAAGCTAGAGTTTATGAGCCACCTAGAATAAAAAGGAACACCCAGAGACCAGATAAACATACAGGCTCACTTCAGAAGTTAGTGTTTGGCTGTCTACAGATGAATGCTCTCCTAATTTATTTCTAAGAGAGTTTAAAGTGTTTAGAGTGCTGGTTTCAGTCTAATACTTGACAGCACATTTAAAATAGTGTTCTGACCACTGTAAGAATGTACTGCAATAGGACGGGTTTCTTAAGGTCAGTTATGATTATGGATGATTATAGACCTTTTCTTAATCAGCACTGAAAAGGCCTTTAGAGGCTATTGTGTATTTTTCGTGGTACAGGTAACTGGGGTGCACAGAGGAAAACTACACACACGGAGAGAGCATGCAAATTTCAACAGCACCTTGGAGTCAAACCCAGGACCATCTTGTTATCAGACACAAGAAGGTGAGGTGGCGGGTACAGCATTTACCTTACTTTATATAATTACATTACAAACCTATATATCAACATCCATATTAGGCCTTTTTTTTTTTTTGAAGTGCTAATTTCTGCATCACCATTAGACAAATGTGGTTGACTGCCTAGGGCCCCTAAACAATTGCCCTCAGTGCCATTAATGGCCGAGGCTTCAGAGCAATTAGATTTTTCTTTCTTTAATATGAGATTAAATAAGAGTATTTAACTTTTAAACAATAATAATAATAATAATCATATGTAATGGATGTAAACAAAAATGTAATTGTACTAGCAAAAAATAAAACTTCCTAAGTAATAATACAAGTTTCCAATCCATCGCAATTCAAATAAATGGAGATATGCATGTCTCAAGAACAATGGGAAAAAATAGACAATTAAAAAAAAACCCAAAAAAAACAGAAAAAACAATGCATTATAATGAGGGCCCCAAACTCAAGTTCGCCTAGGGCCCCCAAATTACTAACTCCGGCACTGTGCCCATTCAAGCTCACCATTATTATCATGATTGTATTAATAAATTGTTTACAGTCTGATATTGCTCCATTTATTTTTTATTTTTTTGTATGTGCCCTCACTGCTGCCTTACCTCTTGCTGTTGGGGCTGAAGACGCTGGTAGACAGGCTGTCTTCTCTGTATGTTTTGCACAGGGAGTCGTAGCTCGTGACAGAATTCCCTGAATCTGAGCCGTTGTCCCTGTCGGTAAACTTGTGCTTGTCCGGAGAGGCCAGGCGCTGCGCACTGTGGCTCCTCTTCCGCTCGCACACGGCCGTTTTACAAGATGGCGGCGATGAAGTGTCATTCCCCGAGTCGTAATCATGCCTCGGCTTCAAAATCAACTCAGTGTCTTTTGCCTCCAAGACCTGACTCCCGGATTTTGAAGATAACATCTGCAAATAGGCACACACATGTTCAAGCTTAAAGTCAGGAGTGCAGTTTCATACATGTCACTACAGCTCATTTTGATTTCATTGTCTCTGTCAATATAAAAATCACATAATCCTTCTGCTTCCCTTTTTATTCAGTATAAAAACTTTGAAAGATAAACATCATGCAAATTTAAAGCATGCGATCACCCTTATTTAAAGAGAGGACTAAACTAAATTAATATAAATTATCAAAAACTAACAGAGAAAGTTTATACTAAAATAATTATTTGTCAAGAAATAAAGGACAGAAAAAGAAAGCGTGGTGAGATCTACAGCTCTATAAGTCACGTTAAGAGAGGAGAGAAACAAGAGCCCCATAGAAAAGCCTTTGTTAAAGAACATTGAACGGACATCACAGAATGGGTTGTATGTGAAAAGAAAAGGACTGCAGCCGTCAGTCTAACTACAAGGCCTCAGATCAGATCAGACAGGCACCAGTGCTCTGTCTCCTCTGCAGCTAAAACAGCCTGCACCGAGCCTACAGTAAAGCCCTCAATCTGCGGACAGCATCCACTTACCAATCAAGATTTCCTCCTTAAGTAGGTAAGGTGTAAGAAAAAAGGAAGAGCGGGCAACATAAGTGCATCATTAGAGTTGTGAATTGCAAGAAAAATACAGTATCCCTCTTTTTAAACCTGGAATGGTGTGAGGCGTCTTCTGCCACTTTCTACATTGCAAAAGAAAATGTGAATCTGTCAACTGTACAAAGATTATCTCCGCTCATCCAAGTAGCTTCTTATGACAGGGTTCTGCTAAGTCACTGCCTTAAAGATTCACTGTGTAACTTTTCTGGTGGAGGTCCATGGAGATGTTGTTGCTTTGTCTGGAATGTCCCAATATGGCAGGGGTATCAAACTCAAATTCACAGAGAGCCGGAAGTAAAAACTGGGACTAAGTTGTGGCCAAACTAAAAATTTCAACAACATCTGCATGTACTTTTTCTTCTTTCGAGATATGTAATCTTAAACCTTCTTTCGTATTAAAATAAATGTTTAATAATAGTTTTGCTTAAATACTGAATCCAGAACAAACACAATAATAACAAAATTTTTAATAAATGTCTCTATAGTCTATCTGTAGCCGGTGGACAGCTCTAATAGATATTTGATATGATTTTGTGGGCCAAATATAATTATATCACGGGTCAAATTTGGCCCCTGAGCCTGAGTTTGACATGTCTGCAATATGGCATTATCTTATATTTACCCAATAACATGGGTTTTTATTGACTTCAAAACCTGCATTCTTACGCTGAGTGGGCTCGCCTCTCCACAGATTTGACATCTACCTTGGCTCTGTAGCATTACCTGCTGTCTATGTAGCAATAAATAAGAGTAATGACATACTGTGGAACATTCCAGACAACTCCATGGAGAGAAGCTGGTGATGGACCCTCCATGAACAGTTAAACAGTACGCTCCAAGGAACTAATTACATTGAAACACACCCTAGTTGTCAACAGTAAGGAGTATCTGTTATTCGTTTATTTAAAAACCCTAAGGTGTGAACTGTCTCATGAGCCATGTGATACATTTTTGAACAATTATGCAAAAATATCCCTTAGGATGGCAATCACTTACCAGAACCTTGTCACAAATGAATAAGCTGCTTGGATGTGTGGCGAAATGTATTCAGTCTAAAAAAAAAGTCCAGTTAACAGAAGTCAATGTTCTTTTGCGATGGAGCCAACCGGGACGACTGAGGGATTACACAGACTGCTTTTTACATTGTTTCTGTGGATTTAATCATTGTTTTGAAAGGTTTATTGCTTTAAATGTCAGGTAAAAGACAGTGGCAATGAACACAGCCCGAGTTGATAAAGCTGTGATCTCTCAAATCAATGTGCTGATAGTAAATCGTCACTGTCCTTGTGTTTGCACATCTAAAGTTCATAAAATATAGAGCAGCTCCCAGAAGGGCAATAAAGTATATATCACCTTGACTTTTTAATATAGTTTATTCAGTTATTCCCTTAACCTTTCTCTTATTTTTATCACTTATGTTCCCATCAAATAAAGCAGCAAATCAAAACAAACGTTATCTCTCATGCCCACCTTTTCTCAAAACATATTAGACAAATTCCACATACAGTCTTTATATGAGGCCTCAGTGTTTAAATAGCAGTGATACAGTACAGGCCTTTAGCTCTGACGCTAGTTGTGACGCCTGACATAATCCAATATATGGGTTCATTTATTGAATCAGAATGAAAAGCCTGTGGTGTGTAATTAAAACATTCATCTGCACAATTAGCATAATTTAATGATCGCCCCAGAGAAACTTCATACATTTTATAGCCCACTAAGCTTGAGACACAGGGTTTAAGGACAGTGCCTTTATAAAATACCTATTTCCTTTATCCTCAGGACTTGGAAGCTCATGCTCAAAGTCACTGCAGAAGTTTTCTCATAAGAAATACTTCTGTAGTTGGGAGTTTTTATTGAACACATGTCCTTAGATATAATTAATATTCAGATCCTTTCGTTTTAAGTTTAGTTTTGGTTTTCATTTGACCTCAAAAGTCCAACCATGACTGATGTATCCAGAGTTCAGAGACAAGTTATGAAACGTCACATTGCAATGGCATTAAAGGTAAATTATGTAACTTTACTGGTGGATGGTCCGCCAACAGACCAATGTACAGGTCAAATTTGTGCATAGAAAACCCTCTGCAGTAAGAATGCATATTTCTGAAGATATTTTTTAATTAACTGATACAACTAAATAAATAATTGCCAAACTGTGGAACATCTTCATGACAAAAAGCAGGTATCAGACCTTCCTCTAGAAAGCACATCGCCAACAGCTATTGGGATATTGTTAATGGGTTCCACATTTTTTGTTTTTTTGCTTGTTGTGTCATTTTTATATTGAATATCAGTTGAGTTAGTTGAATTTGGAACTCATAAGCTCCAAGTGTAAAACATCTAGTCATTTAAAGCTCTCTTTAAACAAAACATGTTCCAGTCTACGTCATTCAGGTGATTCAGGTGTAATTGACAAACATTAAGAAGTACTTACGCTGTGAGCCGAGAGGATGGAGTGGTACTTTGGAGCACTCTCTGAGCTGGGAGGAGATCTCCACTTGAGCTGAGTTTTGTCCAGATCCCCAAACACCTGCTGCACCACGGACTTCTGCAGATGGTGTCTACAGAAACAGTCGGCAAAGAAACAGTCTCAGAGACATTTAGAATTGATGGAAAATAGCTTAAAGGGGCCATGTTACTCTATTTTCTGATCTATGCTATAATGTCAAAACATACCTAGAGGTGTTTTGTTTCATTCACAGATTTAACACACAAATCCTGCATTTTTAGGCTCTGTTCTCTCAAACGGAAAACACACTTGTGATGTTATGTGGTAATACAGAAAGTGCTCCACTGTGTTTTTTAACTCCACACACTCACTCATTTGGATCATTTCCGCCCTGGAATTGACAATCTCTACTGAACAAAAGGTAAAGGGTGCTGTTGACTTGGAATTATTACTACATGACATCACAAGGTGGAACAGAGCATTTCGAGCTCTGGAGAGATAAACAGACTAAGAATAAAGGATTGAACTAATAATAAAAGGACTTAACGTTGAGAATAAAACTTTAGGGGTCAGGAGTGCTACTTGAATGTACAGAGATTGTGCAGAATTGTCCTCTTGTTGCTCTTCAGTGTAGGGACCACTCTCAAATACAAAGTTGAAAAAGCTGAGGCACTTAAAAAATACAATATAATTAAAAGTCTTTAATTCCACATGGCAGATAAAGTTAAAATCCCACCAATGTATTTCGGTCCTTCCACCTTCATCAGCGTAAACTCAAGATGGCTATCACAGTGCAGATTTAAAGTAATAGGTATAGGTCACATGTTTACAGTGGGCGGGCCACAGTCCCCTGGTGCATGATGGGATATATAGGCTAAACAGATTTTAGTTACAAGCTGTTTAAGATAAGATATAATACAAGATACAGGATATAAATAATACAATTCCCAAGAACCAATACATAGAATAATATAAAGTATAAAAATAAATATAGTGCAAAAAAAAAATAAAAAAAAAACAAAAAATACAAAAGTGCTAAAGATATAACATGTATAATTTGTATAATATATTAGAGTGCTAGTCTTAAAGAGTTTCATGCAGACAAAGATGTTAAAATTAGAAACAGATTGCACATTCAAAGCTTGTGGTTTTAAAGGAAGGGGGAGAAATCTAACTCTCCATTGAGACCTGGAAACTGGGTAGCCTTGAGAGTGTAGATTCAGTAGGACTCTCTCTTTAAACTCTCTCTAAACTCTGAGTATTTATTTGACGAGATAACCACATTATAACTTAATGCTCACAAGAGTCAAGTCTGTATTATATAGGACCTTAAAAATAGAGCTTGAGAATTTCAGAGACTGGAACCAGAACGTCATTAAAGGCTATAGATTGTCAGTCCTTGATAATATGCCATGGTAAATATATAGTATTCAGGCATTTTCATATTGCACATTGATCTGAGTTGGGGCAGTTCCCTGTGCCTCTGTGATAAGAGGCAGCAGTGGGAGTCCTGCCTCTGTCTTATCAGTCATCTATGCGGAGTGACCACGAGCAGCGGCAATGGGCTGATAAGATGAAGAGGTTTAAGAAGAGAGAGACAGGGAGAGAGGGGGAGAGAGGAGGTACAGTGGGGGGCACAGGGGGTTCAGAGGGAGAGAGCAGGGGGGGTAAAGAGGGGGGGGCATGGTTCTCACCTGTCCTCTGGGGACGACTGACAGGAGGATGCCTCTGATGGAGACCTGTGATAGCGATGTCTCCTCCGACCATGGCTCCTGGAGCTGAGGAGCACACAACAGTAAAGAAACACTGGATGATGTCCACACTATTGTTGATAAAACATTAACTAAACAGTAAACATTCATTTATTCATTCAACTTTCATCCTGGTGGCAAGTCTGTGTTTTTTAGTCTTGTTTTAGCTGCAGTATACATTTTTGTTTGAAGAGATGCCAAGGAAGACCATCCAATAAAATATTACCCACTTACACAAATTAGAACAAAACAAAACAAACAAAGACTATGCCCATGGCACGGTGTCTAGTTCTTAGAATTTGGAAATGGTAATTGTTGTAGAAGTTTTCAGCTTGTCCAAGAAAGGGTAGAAGTAAGAGGCTGGAGATGGATGACTTAAGCAGGAGAAGTTTATTTACCATCAATAATACAAGCCCAGGGGGACTTGAAAACATAGTATGTTTTCCAAAAGTGAACATAGTATGATCTTTGAGTGTTCAAGCCCCTTGACTCTGCTTCCAAAGGAGGCGGTTTATAAAGCAAATGTGGTGAGACTCTGAAGGCCACAAGGCACCAGTTAGACAACAATATGCCACAATTTAGATAGCGGTTTGCCAATGGTATGCCAAGGCAAGATCATGGTGTAAATATAGCTTTTGTGAGTCAATGTTAAACTGAGACGTACGTCGAGGATAAATTACTTAAATTCTCTTACAGTAATTACTGTTACATTTTTCTAGGCACACATCTATACTATCTATACCAAGCTATAGCCACAGCTGCCATGGGGCTGGTTATGGTTGGTTAAATGTAAAATTCCAAACAGATATCACGCCAATGACTGTCGCAGAGATATGTCTCTCCCTCCATTATCCCAGCAGCACAACTGTTAGCCAACCCAGTCTCTCCATCTCCTCCTACTCACTATTTTCACGCACAAATTATACCTTTTTGTTACCACATTGATGGCACCAAAGTTTATCTGTTCAATAATGTCCTCAATGCACATGATTCAATAGTCTGTTTAAGTCTCTGCTGGCTGAAATTCCTCTGTAAATATTAATTACATTATACGGACAACTCCCAGCTAAGGCTATAAATCTCAAAATCCCACTGCTAACAGACAGTTTTCTTTCCTCACTTTGTGCCAGACTAAAAAACATCTGCATGGCCCTGTTACATGATATGGTTCACTTGAGGGATCCGCGTGGTGTTTGAAATGCGAGCGTACATCTTACGCGTGAAGCGGAGTGGTGATAAAGAGAACAGAGGAGGACAGACTTGTACAGAGCCCGGCTGTAGCTGTGGCTTTGTACTAACAGAGCTGCTCCGTGCTTACAAACAACACGCCGCTCATCCACAGTCCAATTATGAAATGATGCAAGATCACAGCATGAAATTGGTTTCTCTTAGCCTCTGTCACCCTCTCTCTGTGCCTCTCTCTTTTTCCTCTCTGTCCCCTGCCCATGTCTCTCTCTCTCACTGTTTCTTTTTCTGTCTGTCTCGATTTTGCTGTCTCTGTGTTTCTAACCCTCTCTCTCTTTCTCTCTCACTTCAGTCTTTCTCTTCCCTCCTCCTCTTTCTTTCCTCTATGTCTCTATATCTGTCTCTCTATCTCTCTCCTTCTCTCTCTGTTTCCTCCCTCATTTTCTCTCTCTCTCTGTCCTTCTCGCTCTCTCCTCCCTCTTACTCTGTCTTTCTCTCTCTCTCAGTCTCTCTGTCCTCCCTTTTTCTCTCTCTCACTCTGTCTGTCTCCCTCTCCCTCTCTCTCCAACTCTCTCCCTCTCCCCGACTCTCTCTGTCTCTCTCTCCCACTCTCTGTCTCAACCTCTCTCTCCTTCTCCCTCTTCCTCTCATGCTCTGTCTCCCTCTCCCCCTCTCTCTTTCTGTCTCCCCCTCTCCCTGTCCTTCTCTCTCTCTCGCTCCCACTCTCTGTCTCTGTCTTTCTTTCTCCTCCCTCTCCATTTTTCTCTCTCTCTTTCCTTCTCTCTCTCCTTCCCTCCCTCCCTGTTAGTCATTTTTACACAGTGTGTAAAAGACATAAAAGCCTCATGTAGTCGCGCACTGGGGAGGCTGCACTTGCCACGAGCCTCGCTGGATCAGAGGGGTCAGGGGAAGAGTCGGAGGATTTGAAAAGGACAGGATTCTGATGCAAGCACTGCACACACACACACGCACACACACACACACACACACACACACACACACACACCCTCACGCACACACATTTGACTTACAGCTTCTGGCCATGCTAACAGCTTTTTCCCACTGTACTGTTATAACAGGGGTGGGCAAACTACGGCCCGGGGGCCGTATGCGGCCCTTTAAACCTTTTAATCCGGCCCGACAAATTGGAATAAATTACAATAATAAACCTTGATGTTTTATTTGTCATGCATTTCCGGCGTTTCCCAGTAGATGGCGTACTATATATACATTGAGGTGTGGCGTATTATGTTGGCCGCAATGCTTTATGGGAAAGTGTTCTTACAGGAGTTATTCGGACCATGAGTGAAGTAGTTGGTGTTCAAGATATAAGGATGCACTGCTTCCATTTAAACTCGTTTATAGTCAAACATACAAAACCTTTAGATTCTGAGTTGTAATTGCCGGTGCAAATAACTTGGTGGATTCCAGTTTTACTGCACTCGCAGGTGTATGTTTCTGTATGATTGAGCCTGATCGGCGTGAGCTTAATTCTCGAGCTGTTTAAGCTCATGATATTCGTTCTCTTGTGGTGTGCAGTGAATCAGGTCCATTCGCTTTTATGTGTAGAATCTACGAGAAAGTTTGGGGGGGGGGGCATAAAAACAGCCACTTATTCTCAGCCGGGTTATTTTTTGACCCGTAACACCACAAATGTTACTTTTTTTTTTTTGAGATGTTTACAATTTACTAAAATGCTGAAAATGTATTTTGTTGCGTTTAAATGGTTGTGTCCGAGGATTAGATGATGCTTCGTTCCAGTTCTAAAAGTTAATTGCGGTTCCTACAGACCCACACCTGAAAATAAAACCGTTCAAACACTGACACAATTTAAAGGTATAAAAACACCTCTGTTTCCGAGCTCTCGGTAACGTGTTTATACCAAGAATCTGAATTCTGAATCTCACTGTTTTCTGACTTTCCTCATGGGAAGTATTAGTGGAACCAGTGCAGCTTTATGTCTTGAACACTTCTACCTGACTTATGGTCCAAATACGCCGCCCGAAAGAATACATTCCCATAAAGCATTGCAGCCAACATAATGCATCTCTCCTCAATGTATATATAGTGCGTCATCTACTGGGAAACGCCGGAAATGCAGGAAAAATAAAACATTAACAAGGTTTATTATTGTAATTTTTTCAAGTTCGGCGAACTTGAAAAAATTACAATAATTTATTTAAGTTCGCCGAACTTATAGTATAATTACAGTCATTTATTCAGGTTCGGCGAACTGGAATAAATTACAATAATAAACCTTGTTAATGTTTTATTTTTCCTGCATTTCCCGCGTTTCCCAGTAGATGGCGCACTAAATTTACATTGAGGGGACGTGCATTATGTTGGCCGCAATGCTTTATGGGAATGTATTCTTTCGGGCGGCGTATTTGCACCATGAGAGAGGTAAAAGTGTTCAAGATATAAAGGGGCACTGTCTCCGTTTTTAATATTGATAAAGCTAAATATGTAAAGATACAGATACAATGTTAAAATTAGTATCACACATACACAATAGAAGTGGTTAGTGTTTGGTGAACGCGCAAATGTAAAACACGTGACATCGTGGAGTAAACAGTACATTATTTAACAATGTGATATAAACGCGAAGGGTTGATACGCCTGTGGTGTGCGGTGGAGCAGACCTCACTCACTCCTCATGTGTTCTGAAACTTCTGCGTTTCCAGAAGTTGCAGCGCGTAGTGTCGAATACGTTCTACATGAGCGTAAATACGAGTGCAATGGAGCCGGGATCTTAACACGTTCTGTCTCCTGTCCGGCCCTTCAATCAATTTTTAGAGCCCTATATGGCCCCTGAACCAAAAAGTTTGCCCACCCCTGTGTTATAAGCTTGAACAATGCACTTTGATGTCTCACCTTCATTTCTGACCTAATCTTAGTTAGTTTGTTTATTTTACAGACTAGAATATAGTATATAAATGGCCATAAGTAACCAGCTGGCCGTTGCATTCCAAGTCTTGTGAGCTTCATTTGACTGGAGCCGAATGCTATGGGCGACGTCACACTCCTTTAGTCCACTTCTTTATACTGTCTATGTTTCTCAAGTGTCATATTTCACCTGTAATTGGTTGTCTACATGATTTTTTGTTTTTTTTTACTGTCTCATGGTGCACTCTGAGCTTTGTGCACATGTTTCCAATGGGGTTTTTAACTACTACTACTATGGCAAATAAATGAACTTATCAGTTCTGTATTTTCAGTGGTAGTCAGTGCTTCCATTTCTGTTACTGTTTTGGATACAGTTTTGCAGTTTACAATGAACAAAATGCAAAATATTGATCTACATTATGAATTACTACAAAATCCTAGAAAATGCACAAAATCTTCTATATTATGTTATTTTCTGATCAATGTTATAATGTTGTTTCCTCATCAAAAACCTATCTGCAGTTGTGTTTTGTTTAATTCATGCATTTTTAACAAACTAGTAATGCATATTTAGGCTGAGATCTTCTGTGAAATGGAAAACACAATGTTTTTAAACTATACACCTTTACTAGAACATTTGGATAATTTCAGCTCTGGACTTGTCAAACTGTACTGAACAAAAGGTAAAAAGTGCTCTTAACCAGAAAACTACCACTTCATGACATCACGAGGTGGAACAGAGCATTTTGAGCTTTGTATGTAGACAAAGGCTCCGTTCAGACTGCAGGGCTTAATGCTCCATTCAGATTTTTTTTTATTATGAAATCCAATTTTTTTTTTTTTTTGCAAGGTTGTTCACATTTTCAGTTAAATGTGACTTGTATGTGATCTCTAGTGTGAACTTTACATGCGCCAAAAGTGTCCCGCATGCGCATTGGAGGACATGACGAATCAGTGTTTACAGAAGTAGCCTTAACATGGACACTAGCATTGAGCACCTGGCGAGAGTTGATGTCATATTGGAGCCAGAACATGTACGACTTATTTGTTTTAAGGGGGAGATTGAGAACGAGAAGGACAAGGTTTTTGGCAGTGGTGTTTTGTGGGGCAATGGCAGCAACGTCCGCAGAAAGGAACATGTGGGTGCGGAGTCGCAGCCAAGAGTGGTGGAATTGTTATGTGCTTCGCTTGCTTCACTGACATGGAGTTCATACACAATTTTGGGCATGATGAGAAGAACATCTGTGTACATTTGTGAGCACCTACTGGATGATGTGTAGGTGGGATGAATGCGACCTGACCGTTTAGACAGAAGTTGCATGTCAAAATATTGGATATGTATCAGTTTTAGGACCACATATCCAATTGGCCTGGGTCACATTTGAAAAAATCGGATCTGTGTCATTCAGACTGTTATTAAAAGATCAGATACAGGTCGCATGGGGTGAAAAAATCTGATTTGTGTCACTTCAGGCTGCAGTCTGAACGTAGCTTATTAAAGGCTTCCTCAAACATGTGTGAATGAAACAAAACACAACTCCAGTTATAATTTCTATGAGGTAGCAAAAATCTAACATGACTTAAAGCAGAAGAGTAAATTTTCCAGAATATAGGATATTTAAACCATGCTGTTGATCTAATGCTAAAAAAAATACACAATGGTTAATTTTCATCCCCATACAGTAGACAGGTCCCCACGGAGTTTTTCATCCCCACAATGTGATATCTGCCCACACACACACTGACCTTTTCTTGCGTCGCTGCTCGTTCTTCCTCTTATGTTTGAGACTGGAGGAGCTGAAGATCACAGAGGAGACAGCCATGAGAGAGGGAGTATTAGACCGACAAAGCTAAGGCAGGAGACTGTTAAAACAGGCTTTGACAATACTAATGTAGAGTTTGCAATAGCAGCAAGCGTGAATGCGGCGCAGACATAAGCCCGGATTAAAAGGTTTCGCACTAACAATAATATTCAAATGTGAAAAGAGATTAAAATGATAGACGTACCTGTGTTTGGACTTTTTGGATGTGTACCTAGAATGAGAAAAAGTAAAAGGTTGTGTTAGGTCTCTATATCTGCCTGTAAATGAATTCATGAATTTTTTTAGCAAGAAGTGGTACTGCTCAGTTTGGTCCAGCTTAGTTTAGATCACAAATCTTATGATGGAGAAGTTCACCACTGCACCAACACATGAATACCATTGTGATCTCTCTCTCTCAACCTCTCTTGTAAAATGCCTGTGAATAAGTTTAATTCAGTACCTTTATTGAAGGATTGGGGTTTAGGTAGTGAGGATTCAGATCAAAAAGAGTTTAAACCTTCAGCATTGAAACTGGCAACCCAAATGAGAGACTCTTTTAAAGCTCGTTCTGCTTTCTGATTGGATTGTCAAACCTAAACACTAAATTATAACATAAACAATCGGCCATCATGTCCACTGTTTTTGTAATTATGAATAGCATTACAATTGTTATCAGCTAAAGGAACATTTGGTTTACTTTGGCTGATGTATACATGTTATTTTTATGAGGACACAGATATCTCATGTTTGTGGAATTTCCAGTCAGGATCTTATGTACAGTTCCTTTAAGCTGTGCAATGTAACATTTTTGGTCTCTATAGATATATTCTTGCTTTGGTTACAACACAATACGTGTTTTATCTTAAAAAAATGTCAGATTTGACAAGATCCTGGTCCAAACTGGAGCAAACAGGAGCAGAGCGCTGTTCTGTTGACTGTGAATGAGTGCACACCTGTGGCGCTTGCTTTTCTTGGAGCTCTTCTTCTTCTTCTTTTTCTTCTTCCGCACTGGGGACAGGCTGTAAGAAGGAGACCTGCAGGAAAAACAAACAGCAAAAGGAACATGATTTTTTATTTTTATTTTTTTTTTCGTATGTGTGTTTAGATTTGGATTGGACAGAAAAAAGGTTAGTGCTGGAATGTTACATTTCTTAAGAAGCTGTAATTCCAAAAGGTAGAATTTCATTGACAGCAAAAATATTTAAAGGGCCCATGTTGTGTTATATCCTCATCAAAAACATACATGGAGTTTTGTTTCATTTACACATGTTTAACACATAAATCCTGCATAGTTCTCTCTTCTGTCTGTGAAAAGCGCTATATAAATAAAGACTTATTTACTTACTTTACTCTTAAATTGAAAACACTTGGTCCCACCTTGTTATGTCATGCGGTTATACAGGAAGTGCTCTACTGTGTTTTGAACTTCATAGACCTTCAATAGAATCATTTGGATAATATCAGCCCTGGAATTACACATCTCTACTGAACTAAAGATAAAATGTAGCTGTTAACTTTAAAACTACCATTACAAAAACTACCTAACACAATAAAGGATCACTCAAACATATGTGAATGACACAAAACACAACTTCTGGTATGTTTTTGATGAGGTAACAGCATTGTAACATTGCTTAAAGCTCACAAGACTAAATTTTGTGTAATAGAGAACCTTTTATAAAGTAAATGAACTGTAGTGAACAATTTATTTATGAAAAATTATGTCAAAATCTTGTCTTCTCTATTCTCACTCCTAGTATTACATGGTTTTACACACCTTTTCCTCTTCCTCTTGCGCTGAGACTTCCTTTTCTTCTTCTTCGCCTTGGGCAGAGGAGAGAGGTCTTCATCAAAGGAAGGACTGCAGAGAAAAAAAAAACAATAAACAACACATATTAACTGCATATTTTACATGCATTTAACAAGTCTGTGATCATTTTAAACAGCATGGAAATTGTTTCGATTCATCTGAGAGATGTATTTTCCCAAAGCGCCATGAAGTGAGTTTAATTTGTTGTTCTTTTTATCACCCAAAACTTTGCAGCACAAACAGATCAGAGATAACTCCTCTGACAGCCAGTTAGAGGATTATTTATGATGCAGAGGGAGACAAACTCACACACGCACACCTTAAAACTGTCAGGGCCCTGCATTGATTCATTTTAAAAACTAAAAATACACTTCTTTTCAATTAGGAGAGATGTATAAAACTTTTGACAGATCCACTATCAATATTTGTGTATTGAGTATGTGCCTGTACCCGAAAAGAATCAATACACTGTGAAGAGCTTTCTTAAACAAAAAGAACACATGCTCTGATTTCTACAGTTTTTTCAGTAACTCTTGAGCAGTAAGAGATGGAGACTATTAATTTTAATGCAATGTTTCTCTGTATGGTATTAAACTTTTCCATCTCTATGGACAAAAGCGGGTAACTCCACCAGGCCAAGTTGCAGGTCAGATCTGTGGCGAGATGAGCCAGATTTAAAAAATAAAAATAAAAAAAATGCACATTTCACAGTTTTTTTCAGCTAAGAACATATGAGATTGAATAAAAAAATACATATTTAGGGCGTCAGTTATGAATCTATGTGCTAAACTGTGAGTATGAATTGAAGAAAGTGCAATTTGTGGCTGTGTTGTGTATGATTTACCAGCGGGAAGTTCTCATTTTTATTTCTGCAGCAACACTGATATGAAAATGAGCTCATGAGTAAATGCTTGATAAATTAGGCCCATAATGTCATGCTATGGAACAACAAAGCAAATCTCCATGAAGACAAGCGAACGCCCCACCAGAAAGGTTACACAGTGCATGTCTAACTGTTTTAACTTTAAATATTTTGAACCAATATCTAATCTAAATGGTATGGAGATTGTGCAAAAGTTCTAAATTTAGCATCAGATCTTCCATGTCCCTCTTCCTAAAATGCAGAGCTCATAGATAACCCCTGCAGTAAAATGATTGGGGTAAAATATGAGTCATCAGCAGCAGCGGCAGCACAGACGCATCCTAATTCTCTCACTCAACAATCCAGAGATTATGGAGCCAAATGTCCCAGTGGAGATGATCCTATCACAGATCAGTCAGTGTGCTCTGCTGATAGTACAAGAGAGGAGACAGAGAGGGAGACAGGTGCAGAGCTGAAACAGGGATCTGAGCTTTTTAAAACTAATATAAATGTCACGGCATAAAATGATGCTTAGAAAAAGGCTGCATGAGGGGCGTAACATTTGAGAGCACATTAGGTAGGAGATGTTTTTGATAATTGTAAAATGCAGGTCTCCAACATTTTTAAACATGGCTAAATCAAAACAGCAGATGAAATGTTATTTTTCTGAAGATTTAAATGTCCTGTATTATACAAATTGGACTCTTGTAATCTTTAAGACATGTCATAGTGCTGTTACCTCCTCAAAAGCATATCCAAGTTTAGTTTTTTTCATTCACATGTTTGAGTAATCCTGGATTATTGGTCTGTCTACATCTCCAAAGCCTAAATATGCAGGGTTTGTGTGTTAACCATGTGTGAATGAAACAAAACACAACTCCAGGTACTGTATGTTTATGGGGAAACCACGGAGCCCGCCTGATGACGCGCACAAAAGAGATACTAAATCGTGGCCTCAAATTACTATATTGTTCCCACAATAAGTAAATCGTACCCACATTTTAGCCAATTCGTACACATTCCCAGAGCCCATGGGTTCGAGAGCCCAATAGTCCGACAGGCCCTTAGTCTGGCCACACACAGTAGAGATGCATGGGTGACTTGTAACGTGCTGAGGATAAATAGTTTGTAAATTCGGAGTGTGGGTGGAAGCCACACCAGGGCGGGGAGTCACAAACACCAGAAGAAGAAAATTTAAACTGTGTTATTAGCAGGTTGTAAATATATATACACCACAACCGCAGAGCCGATCGCCTTGACTACACCAGGACTACACCAGGACTACACCAGGACTACACCAGGACTACACCAGGACTACACCAGGACTACACCAGGACTGAACCTATGCCATGTTATTAGCGGATTATAAATATATACAAGTTGCAACCGCCGAGCCGATTGCCAGGACTACACCAGGACTACGTCAGGTCTGGACCAGGTCTATACCAGGACTGGACCAGGACTATAAACCAGGACTGAAAGAGGAGTACTCCGTAAATGACACAGCATAGATGGCTTCCACCCACACTCTGAATTCACAAATGGTTTTCTTCAGCAAGTCATCCATGCTTCTCTACTGTGTATGGTCAGACCAATGGGCTGTCAGACCAAAGAGATGACCCCGTAGTGATGTGTACTAATTGGCTAAAACGTGGGAATGATTTAGCTAAAAAGTGGAAACAAATTACATGTTATGGGAACGAAATAGTAATTTGAGGCCACGGTTTAGTATCTTTTTTCACTTGCATCATCAGGCAGGCTCCCTAGGAAACAGCATTATAACATAATTTTACTAGTGCAATACGGGCCCTTTAAACTTCAAGATGTAGCATTCCTACTGTTCAGAATGTCAAGATAAGAACCATTATTATTACCATATTACATTAAAAAACATGATAAAAACTATAATAAAACATGTATTTTTTGCTTATAATGAATTTCAAGCATATTTTGCTAATACTGTTGGGATTCATTTTATCTTATTTGAAATCCAAAAATGACAATTTCCAGATGTTTAACATTGTTAACATGGCTGCTTTACACTGGCCCCAGAGTGTTTCATTTTATCTGCAGAATGATGCTAGAAAACGCATGTTCCTTGAGAATGTTGGCAGAGAAAAAAGATAAGAGCATAATTGTATGTACATGCAGTGTTCAGTGTAAATAAAGGAGAGGAGAGCCTGACACTTTACATCTGTACACACTGGGCCAATGCTATTCTACTCTAATGACCACTAGTGTGAAGTCTGTCTGCTGACAACACAATCAGCAGGGAAAAGCTGATCTGTCTATTAAACCAACGGGGGCCTGAGAAGGACAAATATTATGATAAGACTTATCCTGTAACTGCAGGCAAAGCGTCGGCTGATGTGAGGACTACACTGCAGCGCATATTTTATTAACACAAGTCGATACACTTTGCTCAATATTTTTTTAAATAAAGCAGCGGAACAAATTTTCTTCTCAAACGGGTTTCATGCTGACAAATTCATAAATAAGAATAAGAGATTAAGAATACACAGGTTTTGTGGTTCAGTCTGTTGTTTAAAGGTGCACTGTGTAACTTTACTACACAGTTACTACTGTTCCATAGTAGGGCATTAACCTTTTCTATCTCTATGGAGACAAGCAGGGGACATCATTAACTCAAGTTACTGGTTAAAACTGTGGAGAGGAGACCCCACTCAGAGTGAGATTGTATGTTTTTCAGTGTATTTCTTAGTAGTAAAATGGCTGTAATTGAATACATGCAAAATAGACAAGTTGTGGAATATTCCAGGCAAGACATTTAGATTACCATAGAGACATGCTAATTTTAAAATGGTTGGTCTTTAAAACTTGGTTCTTTTAAAGGTTTTATATTACTAAATAAAGACATAAATAAATAGTCTTGGGAGCTTCAAGAGATCTTATGTTGTTACCTCCTCAAAACGTACCTGGAGTTGTGTTTTGTTTCTTTCACACATGTCTGAGCAACACATTACTATTAGTCTGTCTACTTCACCAGAGCTCAAAATGATCTATCCCACCTTGATGAAGATGTGGTTTCCAAGTTCACAGCTATCTTTTACCTTAAGTTCAGTAGAGATTGGCAATTCCAAGTCTGAAATTATCCAAATTATTCTAGTGAAGGTGTATGAAGTTAAAAAAAAACTCAGTGGAACACTTCCTGTTTTACCCCATGACATCACAGGTGGAGCATAGTGTTTTCTGTTTGAGAGAAGAACTCAGCCTAAATCAGACATGTCAGACTCAGGCCCGGGGGCCAAATTTAGCCTGCGATATAATTATATTCAGCCAGCGAGATCATATCAAATATGTATTAGAGCTGGCCCACCGGGTACACATAGGCTATAGAGACATAATTTATTTAAAAATGTGTTATTATTTTATATCTTGCTTGTTCTGGATTCAATGTTTAAGCAAAACTGTTATTAAACATTTATTTTAATAAGAAAAGGTTTAACATTACATACTTCGAAAGAAGAGAAAACATGCAGATGTTGTTGAAATTTTCCAATAAATATTTGGCCCACGACTTAGTCCCAGTTTTCAATTTTGGCCCTTTGTGAATTTGAGTTTGACCCCCCTGGCCTACATATTCAGAGTTTCTGGGTCAAAAATGTTTGAATGAAATAAAACACAACTCCATTGATTTTAAGGATAAAGTGGTGTAATATGGTCCCTTTTTTGTCCTACTTACATACTGAAATTGAATTACTTTCAACTTAACCTATTGCTCTTTTTGAACAAACTCTCATTTCCTAACCACGCTCCAGTCATTTCCATCATCCTATCTGTTTACAACTAAACCTGCCAACTCGTTTTCTGTCCTTCATCCATTTTTCCTCCATTATAATGAACAGTAAATAATGCACAGACAGCAGCAGGCGTGAGGGGAGCTGATCAGAGCTGACCCGGACAGTGACAGAGTGGACCAGGACTTGATGTATGCGCCCACAAAGCTCCAGAGACTGCTCCTGTTTAGCAAATGCAGAGGACTGTCTCTACATAACAAATGAGCACGCCGTGTGTGGTCGGCAGTTTGTGAGCATTAAGAAGCTAGCTGCATTAGGCTTGATTGGACTGACCGAACCCAAGTAGCCTCTCCTGGTAATGAGAACACTTTGTCACTCATTAACACCTCCACTACTCCGGTCCTATGCAGAGGAGGTAGGAATTAGTTTTATTTCTTTCTACAATTTGTGCCAGAAAAAGAAAAAAAAAAGGTTTCTTTTGATGAGGTGGAGAATGAAAGGGAGATGTGAGTGCAGTCAATTGGCTGCAGCAGGGGGAATAGTGATTGTGTGAAACAATTGTGTATGAAGAGGCAATGGGAGATGTTTGATGTGAGCGTGCTCAGTGGAGAGAGCAGGCTCCTTCCTCTAAAATGGCTCTGTGATTTTCCTCTCTCATATACAGTACATGCAGTAATGATCAGACATTACAGCTTATCAACCAGGAAAGCTGATTGGTGGTTGCAACATTCTCCATTCAATCCCAGCTGTTCAATTTCATGCTGCTGTTGTGTCTATGGGAAAATCTCTTGTCTACATGAATGTGGTGTGTGTGATTTATCACATTGTGCGGACTAAAATCTCTATGCACACAATTGGGCTTTAGTCAGCCTAAGAAATCTTGGTTGACGTGTCCTGCTGACTGATTAATCCAGTACAAGAGGGCATGGGAAAAACTATCAAAGCTATTTAAATTTAGCTACAGAAATCTGAGATGCTCTAAACTTTTTACACTATATGTGGTATAGAAATAATCTTCCAGAGAAAATACTTTGTGGGGATGGACCATTTCATTACCAATCAAACCACCAGAGAAGAGTAAGAGTGAGGTTTACAAGAGCCAGTCCTGTTGTGTTCACCTGCTTCTCCCTGGACACTGGTGTGATGCTGCAGGACACAGAGGAGGAATACTTTCAGCTCTTCCACTAGATCTGCTGACCCTATCTGACCGATCCTTCTTTTAAATTGCACTGAAACCTTTCACTGAGACACAAAGGTGACTGAAAAACGCACAGGAAAATGGTGCTGCAAAACTTGAATTTCTCTCAGGATCAATAAAGGATCAGCTCTCTCTCTGCATGGGAGTTAATGCAACAACAACTATTTAAAACACACATGTACAACGTGTTTTCATAACAACGATGTTTTTATATGTAAAAATGCAGATTAGCTCCCAAAGCATCAGCTAAGCCACCATTCATTCTCCTTTCACACATCCCAACCATAGATTTTTCCAACTCCTCCCCTCCAGAAGGCGCTTCAGAAACCTTCGGACTAAAACCAGCAGGTTCAGGAACAGTTTCTCCCCCATAGCTGTTTCCTAACTGAACTCTCCCCCACCAAACACCATGTCCCCTTTCAGGTCACTCACTCACCCCCTTCCTCTTCATCTCCTCCACGGACATTGAATGTACCCTGTCCAATCCATCCATCCAAACTACATGTATATATCACCAATGCTGTTTATCTCTGCATATCATGCTTACATGTTCATATTACATCTTATACATAACTTTATATTCATTTATTTACAGCACACCTGTTCATATATATATATATTTTGCTCATTTATATATTTTATACATGTTTATATTTTCTATAGCACCCTGTACCATATTTTCCACATTATAGGGCGCACTCTTAAGCCTCCAACCCCATAAAAAAAATGACTGCACGCCCCACAATCCAGAGCGCCCTATACACGAATCCACTCGGGTGTCCCAGCTCGACTTCAATAAACTACAAAGCCGCACCACCCGCAACACATGCAAACACGCACGGAGTAGACAGCGACCGCGCAGCGAAAAACACCCGCAGCCACACTCATCACTCCACGCAGATGAGGACTAGAACGGAGGAACGAACTGAAAAAGCGAGTGCAATGTGAACAATTGAGCCACTGCGAACACGCCAACAATCCAGCGGTCCCAGACAGCACCCTCCCTACGCTCCACAATTGAAAAAAGCCGAGAGTCACCGTGAACGCGCCAAACAAAGTCCGACTGAACCATCTAACTGTAGTGCTTATAGTCCAGTGCAGTTTAAATGTGAAAAAAGTTAAAAAATATACCATTCAATAACAGTGCGCCTTATAATCCAGAGAGCCCTAGAGTGCGGAAAATATGGTATATTTGTTCATAAGTATATTCTAGTTAAAGTTTTTCATGTAAATTTTATTATTGTTTACAATACATCTGCTTATATATCCATGTATATTATACCTAAATTTCGCCTGTCCATACTGCCATATTTATTTGTATATATTCACTACAATCTACACTGTAATAATGTATATTGTCTATACTGTATAAACTCCACATTTTGTATAGGCCGCACTTACTGCTCTTTACACTTCTGATTAGATGTTAAACCACATTTCGTCACCTTGTATTTATACATGTGTAATGACAATACAGTTAAATCTAATCTAATCTAATCTATCTGCTGTGCTTCCATATAAATCCAAAGCAAATAGTAAGTATATTTAAGGTTATGACTTTAAATCGATGTAGTGTTCACCAATAGCAGTAAACTCGATGGGTAAGTCTATCCCTGCTGTTTCCATATGTGATAGATTTGAGATGAGCACTTTCAGATCTCTCATATCACTTGCATTTTTGTCACTTATATTTTTGCGCCCACTCTCCAAGATAAGAGCAAAGCAGCAGTCACTGTCAAGTCTTTATGAAAAGGTATGTTGCCACGATTGTGTAATGTGAGCCTGATACACTTCATATTTTCAGGTCGCTATTAGAAGTATTTTTATCTTCAGCACATCCTGCACCTAGTGTACAGGAGGCGAGCTAGCTAAAAGATTTGCCATTCCTCTGTATTAGTGAGTCGATTAGAGCAGGCGGTAGGGTCCAGGTGACTTCCTCTGGGCAGCCCTGTGGTCAGAGGAGGTACTTCTCTGCCCTCCTAATCACAGCTGCTTAACTTTCACCACCACATCCAGACTCATTGTAGTTAGTGACCGAGTTTTATTTGGATCACAACCAGTTTAGAGGCGACCAACAGCCACTAAATTACAATGAAGGAGCCCAAAAACTGTGAGAAAATATAAAAGTTTTTTGGGTAGAAACTGATAAGAAAATGCTACAAACAGACCGTGTCCACCATTTTTGCACATGTCCTCCTCTTCACCACTGATACACCTTCTCATTGTGATATTGCTGTGGCCTGTAGCCCCTGATGTATTCTATAAATTCAGAATGCAACGCCATTTAGCTTCGTTGTTTTGATAAATTAACAGGATTTTTAATTGTGCATGCATACAGAGTGACCAAGGTGTTTCTCTCTTCATATACAGTGGCAATAAATCTAAATAAATCACAAAGATCGAGAAGATACAAGACAGACTAACTAAGTAGCTGTGCAAATTCACAGTAATTCTCCACTCACCTCCTGTTCCGGCGATGGCGTTTGTGTCCTCTTCTCTTCACATGTCCATTCCTGGTTTTCGTCACGTCCAACTTGACAGTTTTTCTCTCTTCAATCTTCAACGACGGACATGCTGCAGTCTTCGAGCTGCAACAAAACATAAATATTGACTCAAATTAGTTTTCTTTTTTTTTCATGTGGCAATACAGGAAAAGCTCGATTGTGTTTTTAAACTCCAGAACCTTCATTAGAATCGTCGGGATGATTTCAGAGCTGAAACTGCCAATCTCTGCTCAACTAAAAGTAAAAGGTAGCTGTTAACTTGAGAGATGTAGACAGACTAATAATAAGGGATTACTCAAACGTGTGAATGAAACAAAACACGACTCTAGGTATGTTTTTGACAAGATAACAGCATTATGATTTAGGAGAAAGCTCACTACAGTCAATTTTGCGTAATATAGGACCTTTAAGCTTTATCGGTCGACTCTCCGCATATTTAATTCCCTTTCATTTCTACCCCCCGGCATCTTCTGGGAAATTGGAGTTGGGCCATTTACCATTCAAATGGAGGTGTCAATTGAAATGTAGTTATTTACATGCTTCACTGCTCTGACATTTGCAGGAATTGTGTTTTTTCCTAGTGTCTTGTTCCAGACGCAGCCAGGAGCGATCTACACTGAAGCTCCCATTGATTATTTTAATGGGAGCTGATGACTGTATAGGTGCAAATATGAAATTCATCTGAAAGTACGGACACTGAAAACTATAAAATACACATTACACATTCTTGAACTATAGGGTATATGTTCATCTGCTCTTACTACTACTACTGCTACTACTACTACTACTACTACTACTACTACTATTACTACTCCTACTGTTACTACTGCTACTATTGCTACTACACCACTACTGCTACTACTACTACTACCGCTACTACTACTACTACTACTACTACTATTACTACCAGTACTACTCCTCCTACTACTGCTACAGCTGCTACTACTACTACTAGCACTACCACTTCTACTACTATTATTACTCCTACTCCTCCTCCTACTACTACTACTGCTACTACTACTAGTACTGCTTCTACTGCTACTACTACTACTACTACTACTACTACTACTACTACTACTACTACTACTACTACTGCTGCTCCTACTGCTGCTGCTACTATTACTTCAGGGAATGTATATATATTAATTGACATCGTAAATATGTAAATTTAATCTCATTTAACTATATGAATGTTGCTAGTACTTCTAGTACTACTGGTACTACTAGTACTACTAGTACTACTACTACTTTTACTACTACCTTTACTGCTGCTGGTTTTACTACTAATACTGCTACTGCTACTACTAATACTATTACTACTGTTACTACTATAGCTACTACTAGTACTACTAATACTATGGCTGCTGCTGCTGTTGCTACTCCTACTGTTGTTCCTTCTAATACTGCTACTACAAATAAATGAGCAATAGTCATTTTTGAATGTTCCTATTCCCACTCTATAACTAACTGACTAACTAACTTGCTTACTACTACTACTACTACTACTACTACTACTACTACTACTACTACTACTACTACTAGTGCTGCTGCTACTGCTACTGCTCCTACCACCACAACTACTAACTACTACCACGGTTGCTGATACTACTGATAGTACTACTACTACTCCTTCTATTACTGCTACTAATATACAGTGCTATACTACAATGTTACAATTCAAATACAACAGCTTGACAAATGAGGTGGGCAAACGAGTGTCTAAATAAAGTGAGTGAACGTGCACACAGCCTCTGCTCTGTGTATTGCCTCCTGTTTTAGTCATGGGAGATTTGAGCATAATTACACATTCTGCTCTTCGGAGAGTGGCTCCTGTTTGATTGTAATGAGAAGATAATCACAAAACGAGATTAGGCCGTCACTGCAAGAGGCAGCGAATACCCACCCATCCACCCATCCAGCCTCACCTTTAAGTCTTTTATTTTGTCAGAACCAGGGCACGCCACGCACACGGGCAATCATGTAAAAGCGTTAGTTAGGTGGAAGGTGAGATAAAGACAGCCACTGTGAAGATAATTAGATGATCAGGAAGGCTGCATGGTGGGCCAGTGGTGGTTTCATGTGTTATTGGGCTTATTTGATGGGAGGACATTACAACCTGTCTGCTTGATTTTTTTCTACAAGGAAAAACACTAGTTAACAGTAAATCTATGAAGCAGAAGTATTTAAAGGACCAATGTTATGTTTGTTTAATCCCTCAGTGGACCTTTATCATCCTCTTTATTCCTGACTCATGATCCATTTTTTAAACAGACAAAGAAAATGACATTACAAAACAACAAACATGTACTGTATGTTTTTAAAAGACAACCATGCCAGTGTCTCCACATATTGGACTGATATCTTATTGCACTGAATCTCATATTTGTGAGTGACATTATTATTTCATTGTCCAATTTGTTCAGCCTGCAAATAAAACTGTACATTAAAATGAATAGTGCAGCTTGCAAAGTGTTTACTCGTGCAGAAACAAACATCTCTGTCACACTCGTCCATCGTGGCCTCCTCTAAAGCATCCTCAAAGTGGCTCTGTAGGCCGCCTGCAGTCTTTGTAAAATAGCTTTTTTGTAATTCATTTGATTCAAGGTAGGTAAGTATCTTGCCCAAACATACAATAGCAAATGGAGTCACCTTTAGTTACAAGATGATACTTTATTGATACTCATTTTCCCAAATACAGTAACCCCATAAATGCATTTCTTGAAGTACATATTCAGATGGTAACTGCTGGTTAACATCAAGAAAATCTTTGACTATCTTCTGTGTTGATGACATAAGTAGAGTTATTCTGTTTTAGAACTCACCACTACTTCTTGTTTTAGTACTTTTCTATGAGAACTATGAGAACTATTTACCATCAGTACTACCCTTCCAAACCAACTCATAATTACAAAAACATGAAAACGTGCTATATTCACTCTAACTACTACAATCTAGTCAAATAATAACAATTCAGGTAATTTTCACAAGAGCGGACCAGACCTGACCTGGCACAAAACACCAAACCTTTGTATTGGCCATTTTAGGCTCAGAACCAAGAGAGGCAATTGTTCTACAAACTCCACAAAGAAATCACAGGTCTGAATCAATCTGCCTCAGACTGGTCCAGCTCCAGCTCCAACAAAATGTAACAATTTGTTGTAGCTACAGGTGCAAGTGTACTTGTGAAAATAGGCCTGGCCAAAGTCTGCTTCGATTGGAGCCTTTCCAAACACAGCCAAAGGTAGCCATCTGTTTTCTGCTTTGAGAGAAGAAACAAACATCTTCACATGAATATCCAGGGGTAGAGTCATAATGTTACACCGGTATGGGTTTGTAAAAAAAAAAAAAAAAAAGATAGGAAAAAAGTTTTGGTTTGTAAAAGACCAAGAAATTTGTGGGATGTTTTTCTAAATATGAACCACTGGGGTAACAGTACGGGCAAGCATTCAGCACATTTCAATTGCCCATTCCAGCCACAGTCACATGGCTCGTTTGTGACAACAATTGTTAAAAAAGACATCGGTCAAAAGTTTTAGAACACCACACTTTTCCCTTTTTTTTTCGCTTTTACCCACAAGCGTTTTTGTGCAAACAGTAGTTCATAGTTCATTAGAGATTGGCTATTACAGACCTGAAATCATCCAAAGCTTTTAATAAAGGTGAATGTATAACGGGGAATGTTTTTTTTTTTTTTGTTTTTTTTTTACTGTTTACTGTTGACGAAAACATATTCTAAACTTCTGATTCATGAAAGTGTCCACCTTTGGCAGATATAACAGCTGAACACACCCGTGGCATTCTTTCTACAATAGAAATTAAATATTCTTTAGAAAGTTCTTCCCAGGGCTGTTGCAGAAGTTCCCATAAATGTGTGGCACTTGTAGGTTGCTTGGCTTTCACTCTTCTGTTCAGTTCATCCCAAACCAGCTCGATGGGGTTTCTTTCTTCATCTTGTTCTTTTTTTCTGAGGTAGTTTTGGCAGAGCTTGGACTTGTGATTTGTTTCTTTTATCTTTTTTTAAATCTCTGGCTGTTCAGTACTTACCTTTGTACCATTTCAAGCTCTTCATTGGACTTGCACAAATTGAATTGAAGTAAATAACTGGAAAAATGTGGGTTTTCTAAAACTTTTGACTGGTAGTGTATATATATAGTAAATGGCCAAATTTTTATAGTACTTTTCCACCTTATAGGCACACCCATTCACACACACACCAGTCTATGCAGACGCCGAGGACGAGGCGGGTTAAGTGTCTTGTAGCATAGCATTCATCTGAGGGAGCTGAAATTGCACCACCAACCTGTGGGTCAACTTATATTATCACTCAACCAAATAATAATAATATAAAATAGAATAACACATTTGCAACCTTATTTCCTTTCTATCTGACACTATATCAACTTTTCTCATGTGAACATTCTTATGCCCTTTCACACTAAACGCTAAACTTACAATGTTTAAAAAATAAACTTTTCACGCTATAAAATCCCAGATCTAAGGAATACCATTTATAACTGCCAAATGTGCCTCAATCCCCATAATCTCTCTGACCATAAGAAGGTAATCACAGCACAGGGACTATTGGAGAACTGGTAAAATGATTGAAATGTATGCAAATACAGAGAGGATTAAGTGCTCATAGAAGTCGATGATTAAGAAGTACATGGACGGTAATCCAGCTAAATCCTGTTGGGATTCGTTTGCCATACCACAAGGGAAACTCAAGAAGTACACCGAGCGCTCTGTTAGGATGTGATGTTTTTAAGATCGGTGAGATAGTTTTGGAGATTTTTTGACCCAAGAACCCCCTGTCTCCCACTTTAATACATGCAGTTCGCTCAAGACTTCTGGATATTTTCTCTTGTTGGAAAGTAAATATATTTCCTGTTTCTTGTTCACATATTTAATTATATAACAAAGTGAAAAAAACTGTGATGTGTTTTCGAGTGGATATTTATGTAACTTGTGTGAGTAAAATATCCAATTTTACAGCATGTACAGCTTGTCACTGGTGTCAGATCGTAAAGGTGCACTGTGTAACTTTTGTGGTAGAGTATCTGCTCCCTGCCTGTTTTAGTAAAGAT